CCCCCCCCTTCACCAGACCCAGCCCACCTAGACTTTTGAAGTTTTGTCTTGATGGATGACATTGTTTTATAAGAAAGTATGTAGCGCCAGGAATGGGTTGATAAGTCCTTCCGTGACCATCTGCTCCTGGGGAAGATTGATCCTGACCGCGTCTAAGGGGGCACACCCCAGTTTATTTTGGGTCTCAATTCGATTCTGCATACCCTCAACTCTAGCGACCGTCTCTTTCAGGAAAAACCTCTTAAGCCAAAACACTCTGTTTGCAAATGAAGGATATCCCTCTAGCTACGAGAAGAAAAGAATTTCAATTTCTTTCACCTCTCACATTTTAGCAAATTTTAGGGGGAAAAAGAATTTTTCGCTGAAAATGGATGCCAAAAATTGGCCATTTTCACGTGGAATTAAACCCATCACCCAGATTTTTGCCACCGATATGACTTATATGGTCGGAAAGAGAAAACCCTTATGTATTATTAAGAAAAGTATAAAGAAAATCCTAACACTGAGATTATCACAATAGCGCGTCGCGCGAGGCATAGCTACAGCACCCCCAGAACGCATACAAGGCAAAACTAGGTCAAACCGAAGCACCGCGCTCAGGGCGGAAGGACACCCGGAAGTAAGCCTCGGGCCCGAAATCAATTTTCACCCAAAACACGCCACTTCTTACACTTTCCAGCCATGTTAGTAGTTAATCCCATTTTGCAGCAGATTATGAGAAATGTAAACTCAAACATGAACCACCGGAACCCCTTCGTCACTTTTTTTCCGGGCACTACAGTGGACCCCTGTCGCGGAAGAATTGGTGTGTGCACCGTTTTGTCAATTGCTGAAACTTTGTGGAGTGTGATGGAAAATTTTTAAAACCAATCTGTCAACCTTGATGGACAAAATCGACAAAACCTTGGGTAAAACTACAAAATGTATAAAAACGTCCAAAGTAGCATCAACAACAACTCTAAACACCATGATCTGCCTCTCAAAATGTGGGAAATTGTGTTTTTAAACTAAACTTAAAGGCGTGAAAATAAAAAAAATTGCCCCCAGACCTAATAAATTGTGAGCAATCTCCCCCCAGGTCCAATCATGAACCTAAGCTGACGGAAAAAAGATTTGAGCTGGCTAGAGCCTTGTCTTGTGGCTAGGATTGTTGACTAAGAATCTAAAGCTGGTAAAGATTCTGAATTCAAATCCCTAGCAGGCTAAAATGTGTGCCTGTGGGAAAGGCATTTTATACTTATTTCCTCCCTCGACTCAGGTGAAAATGAGTACCTAGCTCTGATTTGGGATGTCCTCTTGGATATGACCTAAAGCAGAGGTCCTGTACATGTGTTTGAGGAGAGCCACACCTTGTGCATGTCAACGATCTAACCACACTTATCAAAAAAGCCCTAGGGGTCCTTCCACCTAATACCAGTTCAGAAAAGAAGTAGTTTTTTTTTCCTACACAGTTATTGTGAAGTGGAATGGGAGTCACAGGAAGAGGAGAGGGACGGTGTGACCACAGACTGACAAGGTCAAAATGAAGGTCAAAATGGTATCACTGCAGGTTGGAGGGAAGAGACAGTGGAATATGCACAGAATTAGTGAAAATTTAAGGTTCTATTCTTGTTTTTACTTGATAATGTTAGAGAACCAAGAGACTGACGTGGACTTACCAGCATGCTCCAGCATATGTGGCATGAGATGGCACTTGTAGGCTGTCCTGTACCCACACTCCCCGCACATGAATGGTTTCTCCCCGGTGTGTTTCAGCATGTGACGATCCAAGTTTGCCTTCTGACAAGCCGAGTAGTCGCACATGGAACACTTGAATGGTTTCTCCCCTGAATGTGGCAATAAAATGCTGAAACTTTACCACTGCTGGGAGCTTAAAATTTTGTTCCAACACAAGGAAGGGATTGTTCTCACCCAGAGCTTTCAAACCAGTCACTCTGGTCTTCTAAGTTGTATAGCCGAGCTCAGTCAGTTCAGATGTTACATCAGGGCCCATCACCCATCACTCAACTGTGACAGAGGCCAACATCGTCTACCAGATACCTTTGACCCAGTTTTGAAGTCACACTTCAAAGAAGCCACATGACTAGTCTCACTGGATCAGTCTATTGAGGAAGACCAGAGTGACTGGTCGAAAGCTCTAGGTAAGAAAATTTCTTGGTGTTGGAACTCAAGTTTCAACTTCCTGTAATGACATATACCAAGTTGAACACATTATACAGTTTGCTGGCAATCAATGACTGGTGGGTATGATTGAAGTATTGTTTTGAGTGGCTGAGTTTGTGTGCTTCATCTTTCAGTAACAATGATTGCAAGGTGAGTGGGTGGTGATTTTGACATTTGATTAATGAAGAAAACAAACCTTCAAAGATATACATGTATACTTTCTTTGAAAAAACAAACAATAAAACAACCTTATGAAAACAAACCTTCATAGATACATAAGACTTTCTTCGAAAGAAGCAAACATATTCTTATGAAAACAAGCCTTCATAGATATAAAATTTCTTTGAAAAAAACAAAACAAAACAAACACATTCTTACCGGTATGAATGCGGATATGAAGCTCAAGTGTCCTATTGTCCCCAAGGTAGGGACAGTATGGACATTTCTTCTTTGTACCCCTCTTCTTTTTTGACGGTATACGAGTCTGGAAACACACCAACAAACAAACAGTTTAACATGATGGAATTTGCTCCAAGAATCAAACTCAGATGTTAATTTTTTTGCACTGGTGTCTCTGAGTTCAACATACTTGAAGAATGTCACATATATAAGCTTGTTCATGATTGAAAAATGGTTCAAAAATTGTGTACCCCATAATAGAGCTGTGGATTTTTCAGGGCCTCTCTAGTCATCACAAACTTTGGAGGCTTTTGTGGGGTTGCTATTCCCTCAGTCGCACTCCCCCCTCCGGAGGAACTAGGCATATCTTCTGGTGCTGTTCCACTGTTGGCATCACCCCCTCCTGTATCCCATGATGCTTCCTGCAGTGCTGTTCCATCTGCTGTGTCCTCCCCCTCGGAGAAATCATCAGACATTGCTTCATCATCTTCTGGATCCCAGTCCATGTTGTCACTGTCATCTGTGTATTCCTTCTCCCTGTCACCTTCTTGCATTTCTTTTTGCTGGTAATTCCCTTCTTGCTTTACCAACTACACAAGGATTAAAAACACACATTTCATGAATTAAATTGGTACTGTATACAAAATTTCTTGTGTAAATAACGTACTGTATAAAAAGATGAAAAAAGCATCAAAATATATCAAATGAATATAAAACATGATCATTCAAAAAATATTCATCAAAATAATCAAATTCATCATAAGACAAATCAAGTTCTGTTATTTGTACTATGAAATATTTTAGGTTAACTTGGTTCTCTTTTTTGCTCAAAATTAGGTTAGGTTACTACAAGAAATACTGGTTCAACCAAGTGAATTATACACACATATGTGTATAGAAATGCTTTACAAGTCTAACAGACTGAAGTACATGAAATGTACATGTAGCAAATAATTTTTATGATAAAGTAAAAAAAGACCCTACCCTGTTCAAACTCTCTGGGTTCGATGAGCTGCTTGCATTGCCTGCACTGCTAGAAACTGCATTGACGGCAGTGTCAGGTTGGGATCTGTCCAGATCGCTAGCTCGAGATCCCTCCAGGCTGTTGGATTGAGATCCCTCCAGATCCCTTGTAACTTGATCCACGATCTCTTTCAGCTTGTCGGAGGCGCTGCCTGGTTGGACAGTTGTTTCTGCAGCCATGGATTTTGTCTTCTGTGTGTTGATTGGCTGATTCCTGGACTGTGACTCTACGGGTGCTCTCATTGGTCCTGACGTGTTACGAGTTGATGACGTCACTCTCTTACGACCTTGTGTCAAACTCTGGGCATTCTTGGCCACCATGAGATTTTCGTTACCTGAAGCGCCCGGTTGGACCACCCATACCATGGGTTTGGTGGAGGCAGTCTCTTTGACGTTACATGAGGCGACATTCTTGGTACCCGTGGTGATGCTCTTGAGCTCCTCAACAGCGTACTCTCCTACCATTAGATGATGAAGGACCTTCACCAAGTTCTTTCTGTTGTTGGAACCTGGATGGCATAAGATGTTTTATTTTGCAAATGACAGCTATAAAAAATAGCATAATCTGTTGGCTTCATCTGTAGTTCTGTTACCTAGCTCTTTCCACAAAATTTTTCACACGAAAAGTACATGAACATGGACACAGACAAATCACAAATGTACATTACAAACATACACAAAGACACACATCACTCACACAAGACACGCACACACACACAGACAGACATACACACATGGGCTAGACACACACACACACATACACACACACATGCACGCAAACACAGACATACACCAACACATAGTATTACACAAACAAACATATACACACAGGCTAGACAAACACACAGACACGCACATACACACACACACACACACACACACACACACACACACAGGCACACACAGACATAACACACACACAGACATGCACACACAGACATGCACACACAGACATGCACACACAGACATGCACACACAGACACACACAAGCACACACACAGACACACAAACAGGCACACACAGACATAACACACACACAGACATGCACACACAGACACACACAAGCACACACACACAGACACACAAACACATACACACACACAGACATAACACACACACACAGACATCACACACCCACAGACACACGCACACACACATAGACATAACACACACTCACACAGACACTTGCACACGCACAAAAAAAGACAGACCTGCCATGTCCACATTCCTCCTCCTCAGTTCCACCAGTAGCTCCTCCAGCTGCAGTCTGGGTAGTACAGCTAGTGTCACCTCCTTACTCAGACCACAGATGGAACTGTCCGAGTCTCCTTCATCTAATGTCAACACAAAATAAAAAAATTAATTAAAATTGCGAATCGACAAAGCAAAACAATGTAAATTTTTATCTGGTATCAGGGCTCCAAATACCCACTGAAAATTGAAATACAACTCTTCTTGCATCACCATTTAACCTGCATTAAAATTGCAGGAAAAAGTTACAGTTGACATATGTAAAGAAATAAATCTTTTATGTTTAATATGAAATTAGAGCTTTCAAAAAACGCACTTCTAGGATCAACCAAATGTTCCCAACGTAACTGCAGAAATAACAGACATTCCTGGGAAAGTCCTAAAACTCTTACGAAAATACTACAATGTATACTATTTGGCCCACCCCTGAGGCATTGCCAAAAATCAAACAACATGTATCTTCATCTTCATCTTTGCCGGGACTCTGAGATGTTATATGAGCCCCGGCTACACCCCCATATAGCCCCTGTTGGGGCACTTTAGGGGGAAATGTATAACGTAGAAACATAATATTAATAATTTAATATGCAACTTGCAGATTTCACAATATCAAGGTACTAGTAGGTAGCAGTGAACAAAAGCCCCCATCACTTATGGTTGGTTTAGATACAAAAATCTTAGAATCAAGTTAAAATTGTTGTTTTCTCACAAACCTTCATCAGCTTCGCCCTCCATTTCAAAGAAACTGTCGCCATCTCCCTCGCTTTCTACGTCAAGGTTCGAAGCGAATGAAACCATCTCAGCATCCATTGCTCGCGTGTTATCCACCAGGCGAACGGGATGTACGCCATCTTGCGTACTGGACGACTCTGCACAAACAAGTAACAAACTTAGCTGCAATATTTTGCAATTCTGCTAGAGGGCTCTTAAAAGCAATGTGGCCTCATAATAACAAAATTCGGAAAATTATTCCTTCAAGTTTAAGAATCAGTTCTAAGGTCAAACCTGCCCAAGCAACCACCTCTATATGCCGGCCAACTGGCCATAGTGACCGCTTTTTCTCGGTCCTGATTTTTGTCCCCATAGGAGCTATATTTTGGGTACCTCAAATGAGGTTTTGCACGACGTGAGCTTACTCAATTCACGTCGGTTTTCACGCGTGCTAATACTCACTTCGCCGTAGATGTAGACATAAGCATTAGGGACTTGTCTAAGCCTACCACCACTTGTTCAACACAACCTCGACCGGCACTACTTTGGTCAGTAAATCTCTCCGTATCACGGCCGCGTTATTTTTCAAGCGTGTGGTGGAAAACATTTTTGATGAACTTAACTAGTGTGAAATTTTGAAGGGAAGAGTTTGCCATTGATTTTGACAATGGACAGTCTTTGTGCAATGTAAAATGGCAATGGCCGAGTGATTTTTGGACAGTGTATTGGTACGCGTTTCTTGTTCTTTGTGTTGTCTTGTCGCCATCCTTTTTGTCTATGAAGATCATGTTCCCTCAGTCCCCTGGGTGGTCGCCTTAGACAAGTTTCACTGTACCTTCTTCCTCCTCAGTCCTGGTGTCCGGTAGCTGGGCAGGTCTGGAGACATCTTCCAAGAAGGAGTCCAGCTCCTCAAAGAACTCCCAGTCTCTTTTTCCGGCTGTCTCCTTGTGCCTGCGGTAAATGACCTTCAGGGCCTTGACCTTAGATCTCACTTGTGCTGCAGTCCGGTTGTAACCCGCTTTTTGCAGCTGTCTGGAGAGCAGTTCGTATCCCTTTCTGTTATGTGTCCGTTGCAGTTTGCGTAGAACAATGTCGTTGTTCCATAGGCCAATCAAACAGCGCGTCTCTTTTCTTGTCCAGATACTGCCAAACTGATTAGATTTGTTCAGCATGGCTGGGATTGGTCCATGTGGTGATGTAGTGATGCTGTTGATGGAATTGACATCCTTGTCATCCCCAAATTCACCATCTTTAAAACAAGAAGATGGCAACATTACTTAATATATTTCACTCCATACAACAGTGTGGAAGAAATATATCACTTTTCCTGAAGCTTCTTCTTTATCCTCTCTTGCCATTCCGTTAAATGGATTCAACTTCTTCATTTTTGATACAAGCTTTCAGAATTGTTCCATTTGTTTTTTGCCCATTTTCAGAGAACTTTCTACTAAAAAGTACTTAATGGGGGTTTCTAGAACACTTTTAATAAAAAGCACTGTATGGGGGTTTTGAGAATATTCTTTACTGAAAAGCACTATAAGGGGATTTTGATAACACTTTTAGAGAAAAGCAATGTATGGGTTTCAGCACTACATGGTGGTTTTAGGAACACTTAATACTGAAAAGCACACCATAGGGGCTTTGAGAATATGCGTTACTTAAAATAAATACATGGGCAATTTAACTTGTTCTAAAAACACTTGTTACTGAAAAACACTGTATACAGCCCTAAAATATAACCTCGGTGAAGAGGCTCTGCTTTTAAAAATGTAGTATTCTTTATATTAATTAGATTTAGTCCTACCTTCATCCTCCACTGTCCTGGTGTCCAGTCGATGGTCAGGTCTGGAGACATTGCCCAAGAAGGAGTCCAGCTCCTCAAAGAACTCCCAGTCACTTTTCCCGGCTGTCTCTTTGTGCCTGCGGTAACGGTGCTTCATGGCCTTGACCTTAGATTTCACTTGTGCTGCAGTCCGGTTGTAACCTGCTTCTTGCAGCTGTCTGGAGAGCAGTTCATATCCCTTTCTGCAATGTGTCCGTTCTAGTTCACGTAGAACCCTGTCGTTGTTCCATAGGCCAATCAAACAGCGCGTCTCTTTCCTTGTCCAGATACTGCCAAACTGATTGGATTTGTTCAGGATGGCTGGGATTGGTCCATGTGGTGATGTAGCCGTGTCACTAACAAAATCCACATCCTCGTCTTCCCCAACTTCACCCTCTCCATCTACATTCAAAACAAGCAGACGACGATATTACTGGCATATGATATATACATTTAATCATATGAAGTAATGAGTGCTGAAGTAATGAGTGCTGAAACCTTGCAAAAGGTGTCTTGTTGATTTGATACATATATTATATGTAATATAGGGGTTACTAAACTTTGGAATTGGGGAAGTATTAAAGGGACTTTGGAATGGTCACGAGATTGGCATGCAAGTGTCCATTTTCAAGGTGAGAGAGATGGAGTGAAATGTGCTGTAATTGCTTGCAAATGTTAGCCTCTAGTTGATTTTGATGTGTTATAAGTAGCCCTTTAGTGTAGAATATGATGGTTAAAAATTCATATATTAATGAAATCATTTTTCAGTCCTACCTTCATCCTCCCCTGTCCTAGTGTCCAATAGACGATCAGTGCTGGAGGCATCACCCAAGAAGGAGTCCAGCTCCTCAAAGAACTCCCAGTCACTTTTCCCGGGTCCACTATTGGTTACTGTCTCCTTGTGCTTGCGGTAACGGCACTTCAGGGCCTTGACCTTAGAGTTCACTTGTGCTGCAGTCCGGTTGTAACCCGCTTTCCGCAGCCTTCGGCTCAGAAGTTCATATCCCTTTTTGTTCCATCTTGGTTCTAGTTCTTGTAGAACTCTGTTGTTGTTCCATAGGCCAATCAGACAGTGAGTTTCTTCACTAGTCCAGATACTGCCGATCTGATTGGCTGAGCTTGATCCGTGTGGTAATGTAGTCATGTCGCTTACGAAATCCGTATGCTCGCCATCCCCAACTTTGCTTAACTGCATTTAAAACAGGAAGATAGCACAAAGACATATACATTTCCTCAAACAAATACAGCCCCTGCTTTTCCAAAAAAGCTGCAAGGGAGAGCAATTTACCACTTAGATCAAGAGTCTGCTGTTCAAAAATCATGACCACAGCATGTGCAGAAAACTAAAGTCCTGCTGCAGTACCTTTAGAAGCTGCCTGGGGGCGCATAATTGAATTCTGTTTCCCCAGTACCTACATGTTATATTTCTGAGTAGTTATACTTACCTATTACTGACATTACCTATTACTGACATTAGATTTTCTTGAATGTAGAGAACAACGTAGAGAATGTAGAGACTGCCCCATTGACCCTCAGTGACCCAGCTGGCACCATTTTACATTGCGCAAAGACTGTCGTGCTGTCGAAATCAATGACAAACTGGCCGATTTGATTCCATCAAGATTTCTCACGGTTAGCATCAGAAGCATTCTTTGCCACACACTTGAAAATGATGCGGTCGTCATAGGCAGACATTGAGCCATGCGCGGTCTCAAAAAATGCCGGTCGCGGTCGCATTGGACGAGTCCTTTGCTTTGGAAAGTCCCTTAATGTAGTTATCTGTAAGGAGAAAAACGGGACTGAGACAAAGCGGTCGTTATGGCCAAATGGCCGGCTTGGGCAAAGAGGCGGTTGCTTGGGCAAGTTTGATTGTACCTTCATCCTCTTCTGTCCTGGTGCCCCGAAGACGGGCAAGCCTGCAGGCATCACCCAAGAAAGTGTCCAGCTCCTCAAAGAACTCCCAGTCTCTTTTCCCAGCCCTGCTATCAGCGGCAGTCTCCTTATTCCTACGGTAAAAATACTTCAGGTCCCTGATCTTTTTGTTAACCTGTTTTGTAGTCCGGTTGTAACCATTTTCCCTTAGCTGTTGGGTCAGAATGTCATACCCCTTTTTGTTCCTGGTCTGTTCCAGTTTACACAAAATCCTGTCGTTGTTCCATAGACCAATCAGACAGCGTACTTCTTCGCTGCTCCAGATGCCTTTGGGTTTGGTGGGAGTGTTGTCGACCAATGGTGCTGTCACGTCACAGATGAAATCCACATCCTCTTCTTCCCCAAATTCACCATCTCCATCTGCATTTAAAAATTCAAACAAAAAGATCATTGGCATGAAATTCAATCACAAAGTCACTACAGCTCCAAATGACATTAACCTTGATACAAGTGTGTGCAAGACTATCTGGTATTATAAATGTTTATCAATTTATTATACATATCATTATCATATCATTAAAATATTTCTAAGAAAGTGATATGACCTGGAATTTACTTCAATTCTTCATTTTCCATGAGTGTGTATATGGAATAGTCCATTTTTCAGAAAATTTCATTTTGGGAGTGGGGTGAAGTACACAATGATGTTGATATCTTCCATTTGTGGGTAGCAGTGGTCCATCTCTCTGAAAAGTTGAAATTTGCATGGGGAAGGAGATGGGGTGAAATATGCTGTAATTTTTTATTTTTTTTTATTTTTTATTCGCACTTTAAAAAAATGTAACAATACAGACACAAGAAAATATAAATGAAATATAACAGTGCAGGGAGGCCGTAAGCATAAATTGCTTATGAGGAGGCCTCCCTTCATAACTTAATTAACAATTCAAATAAATTTGATAAATAAGAAATAACTTACTAGGTAAATGAAACAAAACAATAAAATACAATACGATACAATACTATCTACAATAATGAAAAGTAGTAATGAAAAGTAGTAAACAAGGAAAATTAAACAAAAATTAAGAATGTGTGGGGTTATTTATGAAAGTTGCTTTAGTAATTGCTTGCAAATTCCACCCTCTCTACTAGTAGTTGATTTTCATGTGCTTCAAACCACTGACTTGCAAGCAGCCCTTCAGAGTAGAAATATGCCACATGAAGTTATATTTTAGTCCTACCTTCCTCTGTCCTGGTGTCCGGTCCATGGTCAGTTCTGGAGACATCACCCAAGAAGGAGTCCAGCTCCTCAAAGAACTCCCAGTCTCTTTTCCCGGCTGTCTCCTTACTCCTGCGGTAGGAATATTTTAGGTCCCTGATCTTTTTGGCCACCTGTTTTGTCGTTCGAGTGTAACCCACTTCCCATAGCTTTTGGCTCAGAAAATTGTACACCTTCTTGTTCCTGGGCTGTTGCAGTTTACGTAGGACCCTGTCGTTGTTCCATAGGCCAATCAAACAGCGCGTCTCTTTGCTACTCCAGTTACTGCAGTTCTGATTGGGTTTGGGGGGAGTGATGTTGACCAATGGGCTTGATCCCTGAGGTGTAGTCATGTCACAGATGAAGTCCACCTCCTCTTCTTCCCCAACGTCACCATCTGCATTCCAAAGAAAAAAATTATTTGCAATATTATTGGCATGTACATTCAATCTGGTCAAGCCAATACAGTTGTGTGACCTGTTACCTTTCTCAACGACATTAAACATTATACAACTCCTGAGAGTGAGTCTGAGCAAGACATATTATAAATGTTTCTTATCGATTCTACATATCATAATATAATAATTATGTGAAAGCCATATGTCCTGGAATTTACTGTACTTGAATTCTTCATTCTAATTGCATGAGGGTGTTTCTGGAAGAGTCCATTCTTGCAGGGGGTAGATGGAGAAAATTCCATTTTGGAGGGGATGATGCTGGGATAGTCCATTTGAGGGTAGAAGTAACTAAGGTATGGTCTATTTCTCCAAAAAGTTGATATGGAAGAGTTCATTTTTGCATGGGGAGGGAGATGGGAAGATATATGCTGTAATTGCTTGCAAATACCAGCCTCTCTACAAGTACATGTACATGTAGTTGATTCTGATGTGTTTTAAACCACTGACGTACAAGCACTGCCCTACAATAAAAAATTATATATCAGTTCTACCTTCTGTCCTGTTGTCTGGTAGACACCCAGTTCTGGAGACATCACCCAAGAAAGTGTCCAGCTCCTCAAAGAACTCCCAGTCTCTTTTCCCGGCTGTCTCCTTACTTCTGCGGTAGGAGTATTTCAGGTCCCTGATCTTTTTGTTCACCTGTTTTGTAGTCCGGTTGTAACCCTTTTTCCTTAGCTGTTGAGTCAGAAAATCGTACACCTTTCTGTTCCTGGGCTGTTCTAGTTTACGTAGAATCTTGTCATTGTTCCATAGACCAATCAAACAGCGCGTCTCTTTGCTGCTCCAGTTGTTGTTGTTTGGATACAGATTGCGTTGCATGTCGTGGCTTTCCGCCATGATCACCGAACAAACAAATCAGAAACTAAAAACAGCAAAAACGAGAAATGGTTGATTTCAGACTTACTTATTATTCAGATGTATTTGGGGATTTTTAGGACCCTTCAGCTGATTTCCTGTGTCTGACCCTTTGACCTCCTGTTATTTTGCCTGTCAATCAGCTTGGATGTCTTATCTTTCGTGAGGATATGAATGGGGGATTTGAGTAGCCTGACGTGCTAGCCAGGCCAGGTAGACAGACAAAGTAGCCAGGCCTGGCAGTCACCCAGAATTTTCCGTAAACCTGTCAATCAGGAAGCTATGAAAATTTGTTTCCACTTTCCAAGAGAAGTCCAGGCCCCCAAAAACACAAACAATAGCAGTATAAACTGATAACTCAAGAAGGGTGAGAAAATTATCGAGTCAGCCTGCTGATATGACTGGATGGAAATTAAAAGTAGAGGGAGGCACAAAATTAAGTTTTCATTCCATAATTTTCATTGATCATTTTTAACAGCAATCATACATGTATGCAAAACAAACAAACAAACAAGGAGACCCAACTTAGCAACTGAACAGGTCAATAAGGAAAACAGAAGGCATAAATAATATCAAAAGGACTGCAAGAGGGCCACCGCAAATCACGTAGGACACCAACCCTTTCCAGTGTAAATCGGTCATGCATTCTTTCACGTTTCGTGCCCCCCTCCCCACAAGGCGTGTGAACTGGTGCATTCTAAAAAAAATCTACAGTAAACAGCAGTGCTGGAAATATTTGCCTAGGACTTAAAGTGTAAATAAGCACCAAAGGTACTAAATTGTAAACAAAAAGAAATTGTGGTTTTTGCACAAAAAATAATTTGTCCAACTCACATGCATAATTTTGCGCGCACAAAAATACAAAGACTAAACTGGGCGTAGCGCTGAAAATACAACTTTCACGATAGTTCAAAAAGCGTAAGACCTACCTTAAGTTGTAGTTAAGGCCCTTAATAAACCTACATCAAATTTGAAGGGAAAAAGGAGCTCGAAAATCTGATAAAAAAACGAGTTGGGGAGAGTGAATCTGGCGAGGCGCGAAGGAGACGTGCGTCACTCTCCGATTTGAACGGTCAAAGGTTACAAAAGGTCGGGTCAAGTTTCCTCTGATTTACACTATACTGTCGCAAGACGCTCTGTAGGTAGTACTAGTATCTCGCCAAATGAGCACATATCACATGCATTGCACAATGAAAATAACTTTATTGTTCAACTTTATTTATTGCTCATCATTTAACAAATGTACAACAGCAGGGGGAGCAGAAGCGCATCCCCCTGAATTAGGTACAATTTGTCACATTATTTGAAGCATTAAACAGCATTCACATAGAAAAATAATACATATAAACTAACATATATACAAAAGACACATATAAAAATTATTTACAACATATATGCGCAAAGTTGCTTTATCAGGCTATGCAAAGTTCAGTGTAGGTTCAAGGCAGGTTGTTATAGAGTCTGATGGTGTAGTGCAGGAAGGACTGTTGCAGTTCGTTTAGTTCTTGCATGGGGAACAGTGATGTTGTGACAGTTCCTCAGCGATCTTCCTGTGACAGACTGTCTCAGGGCAGGAACGATTGTACGACGATTGTAGCAGGTATGGCAATGTACGATATCTGTGCATATCTGAAATTCAAACTACAATGTATTGATAGTATTGTCGATCTAACAATTTGCCACAAAAGTGGCAAATATGTAACATTTTTTCACCAGAAATTGAAACATTAAGTGCAAAAATATCCACGCGATCGTACTTCCGCTCTAGCTAGCAGCTTTTTCTACATATGTATCCAGAATAATCCAACAACGTATTTTTCTTGATGCCCTATTGGTGCGACTAAACACTTCCAGCATGCAATCAAAATCTAAATTTGACTTTGTAAGAAAATGTATCTTTCAATGGAAATTAATTCTAAGCGCTGTAACATAGCTTTCTTTACATTTTTTTTCATCCCCTTACGTACATAACATTCGCCTGCAAGGTACACAAAGGTGTATGTAGGCAATCTATTTACTGTAACAGTATTTCAATTTTAAATACGTCACAGCAAACTGGGTATTCTCATGAGTTTGCTACTAGTTGACTTTTATATGTATCGTCTCCAATTGCACTACACAAAACGGACCTATAGCTTTTTTTAGAGCAAATGCATTGAAACTTCAAAAAGAACCCACTACACATGTCAATAAGAGAAGGGGCCCGTCCCGGTTTGAGTGGTCCTATCCGAGTTTCAACGCATCTAAACTTAACGTATGAAAACTGAGGTTCCACTAGCTTTACCATTTCATGGTGCGGACAAAACAAACATTACATGCAGGTACTAGTATCGCATGTGCAGCGACCCCATTGTAGTACTTTGCTAATTTGCATTAAGTTTGCGGGGGAGTCATTCAGAGGTCATCCGCCATCTTGGATTCGGTAACAGGTGTTCCTTTGATTCGTACCTGTTGACTGCCAGGCGAATTTTCAGTCTCAAATCGTCCAGAAATCAGGTAGGTGGAACAAGAAGGTCACTTAACGACTTTGCATACAACCTGGTACGCGTAAACGTTGATTTACGTTGGTCTACGGGGTGTTTCAAACTTTTGTAGCTAGTCTGAGATTTGATTCGAGCTGGTGTGGCGTGCGGTCATGATCACATTCTTTGTAGGTCGTCTTAAATTTTATGTAGTAGGCTTTTCTAAGCAAGCTGGGATAGAACCAACTACCAACGAGAATATAAGACAACGTTTTCGGGTAACGAGACAGCCGAAGTCTGTGCGACACAAGCACAACTATCACAAGAATGCCCTACAGTTTGCGATTGTACGATCGACGATCACATGGGCACGACCGGGCGGTTAAACAAAAGATCAAAGGTCATAAACGGTGTTCTGTGATTATGTAGTATTGTTTAGTAAGGCAGTATCTTAATAATCTTATTGGAAATTACGTGGTCGACCACAAATTCAGTGAACTTCCAATGTCATTGTAGCAAAACGACGCCTGGAGGGTTATATTTTATCGAGCATGATTTGCAGTGGTGTTTGTTTCTGGCTTAGCAGCATTAGTTAAGAAGGTATACAATCATGTATATGGATTTTCGCGGTGTGTGGTTCAATAGGTCTTGGTCGAGCGAAGAAATTACTAGTATTTAAATTTGAGGCTTTCCTTGGTTCTGCAGCGGAACTTCCGGTTTTCGTATGTCATGTCAGTGAACAAGCTATGATCACGATTTTTGTTGGTTTCCTTCTCATTGCCTCCGCGTAGGGAGGTTTTATTTTCAATGGGTGCTTGTCTGTTTGTTTGTTTGTTTGTTTGTTTGTTTGTTTCTTTGCCTGTTGTTTGTAGTTATTTGAAAACAGTGCAACATGCCAACAGTAGACTGACAAGAAGTGAGGGGGGAATGGTATAACCGCAGACTGACAGGAAGTGGATGATGTGAGGGTCAAAATGGTTGGTAGAAAGTGCACACTACGGTTTATCTGTGCTAAGATACTTATGTCAATTGCCTTATGGAAGCCAATGGCGGAAAATCCACATACAAAATCATTGAGAAAACGCATAAAACAAGAAATTCACAAAAGCTCTAAATACTTACTTAGTGGAGGCTTGAAATATGTAATATCTTGTTCAAATGGTGCAAATTCTTAATCTTAAAGTAAGCATGAATTATAAATTATAAAGCAGTTTAAACTGTTCATGTAATTTCCAGCACAAGAGATTGGACTTCTTGTGTTGAAAATTACAGTTTAAACCGCTTCATATTGATTTCTACCAACACGAATGAACTTTCAAGATAGATACATGTAATACATATTCCTTAATTTTTTCCAGCCAGTAAAATGGCCACAGTACCGACACCACTACATGGCCTGTCTCGGGAAGTTACCATGGCCGTACTACCCAGACTGTACCTAGAGGAGGTGATTCTGGAACTCAGCAGGAGGGACATCAACATTGGGGGCTTTCACACCGGTAAAGACCACCTGATCAGTGTGCTGAAGCACTTGATGGCACGGGAGTACGCTGACTTAGGGGCCGGGGAAAGCCAAACGAAAGAAACGGGTTCGAGAAACTCCAAAGACAAAACGGCAGACATGGAACACGATTTGGGTAAGCAGGATGCTTCACAGCGAATTCCTAATATGGGAACAAAGCAGGATCATGCGACCAATGAGTGTCATCGAGTTGAAGAAAGTACTGTGCAACGCCTCACGAATATGTCTCCATCTGACCAAGTTGGGTCAAAGGATGGTAACGTTGAACTTGACAACAATGTCTCACGTCAAAAAGGAAAGGTAACCAATCAAAACGACAAAAATCTTGCTGCTGAAACCAACCAATCGCGCGCTTCCAGTAACGACCGCATCCAAACTGCGAAGACGACAGCCAAACGCTCGTCTTCCGATGTGGGGACGAAGTATTTTGATGCTCTTCCAGAGGACGTTAGACACCACTTAGAATTTTGTGATGCCAGGGTAGTATTAAAAAGGTTGGAACACAAGGATAGCTCGGGTTTCCTACGTCACAAGAAAAGGAGGAGCCAAGTGACGGGGAAGGGCTCACATGTGACGTCAGCTGTGACGTCAGATGTACCACAGCGCTCATTGGACAACGCAGTGCCAAATGTGAACGGTGGAGACACCAAAGCAGAAGTAGAGTCAAACGACTTCCTACTTGAAGCTGAACAACTCGGTTACAAGACAAGGCTGAGGTGGAACACAATTATTCAGTCCGATCTGCAATCGGAAACCGAGAGTGAGCCTAAGACCACAGCAAAGGAAAACCAGAAGATTGGAACGACATCTAGCGGCCGACCACTGCCCCCCAGCGATGGCGGAAAGAGCAAGCAACCGGCAAGTCCCGTGGACAATAAAAGAAATAAAGCTCGGCCGCACGAAGAATCTAAGGCGAAGACACCAGCAAAAGGAAAACAGAAGGTTGGAACGACGTCTAGCGGTAGACAACCGCCCTGCAAAAATGGAAAACGAAAGCAACCGAGTCCCGTGAGCGAGAGTGTGATGTCCCATATGAAGAAAGTTTGGTTCCCTGAAGACTCTGAAGAATCTATGCCTGAAACATACGCAACAGAACTGAAGATTGCAGCGGTATCTAGCGGCAGAAAACAGCCCTCCAACATTAAAAAGGGCATACTACTGACCCCCGCGAGCGAAGCTGTATTGTCCAAATTAAAGAAAGTTCAGCTCCCTAAAAAATCTGTGCCAAAGACATCAGCAAAAGGAAAACAAAAGATTGGAAGAGCAACGGGACAACCCTCCAATGACGGAAAGAGTCCTAACCCCGAAGGTGCCTCAGTTCGGCCAATCATACGCAGGAACCGGACAAAGCACGTGTATGTGTGTGAAGACTGTGGGTACAGATCTAAAAGCAGGTGCCACATGATCGTTCATATCAGAAAACACACAGGAGAGAAACCTTTCGGCTGCTGCCTCTGCAGTTACAGGGGAACTTCTGAAAAGAACTTACGAACCCACATGCAGAAACATATAGGTTGGTATCATTTGTTAAAATCTATTCATTAAATTTTTAGACTATCCAGTGGAACCATCAAAAAGTCATAAATCACTTCTATGTCTGTACAAGCTACAATGTATTGCAACAACTATTGAACATGGTACGAAAAGGCATAGAATAAAACTTAACATCCTAATTACTGAAAAAAAAAGAGCTAATATGATATACAATCGAGTGGAGCTAATAATGAGTTTCAGCATTTTTTTCTAATAATAAGTAGTCTTTTAAGTATTCACCATTTTTTGAATCCGGAGTTAGTGCATTGAAAGATTTATTCAAACCTGTCTGTAGCAGACAGTATCTTGAAATCTGTTGCAATTGATTCACGAACTGTGAATAACTTGTTACTTAAAATATCATCTAGAGCATTCCATGATATATCAATCTTTAGCTTTCGTTATATATATATATATATATTTATCCCATTTATTGCCTTCGTGAGAAGGGTATAAAATCAGCTTTGCTTTAGTGTGGGAGACTGTGGATTTAGCGGCATAACTCTTGGAGGAACTCTAACTTCATGATTTTGGGCAGGCAGGTTACCGTTGAGAAGACCAAGGGCAAGTTCAAAAATGGGATTCTTGGGGGTCCCTACGCCACTGCAGTAAATTAATGCAGTAAATTAATGGGATAGATCTCACCCTTTCTGTTGCAGGTCTGGAGAGCCCTCACGTGTGTGAGTACTGTGGCTACACCACCGGGTCAAGAAACGCTCTGGTCAAGCACATCCGGACACACACGGGTGAGAGACCGTACGTGTGCAACATCTGCGGGTACAGCGCCTCCAACACCTCCAGGATAGCCGAACACATCCGGACACACACCAACGAGAGAACATTCCGCTGCCCGCAGTGTACGTACCGCGCGAATCGCCGAGATAGTCTGGTACGGCACTATCTAACACATACGGGGGACAAACCCTTCCACTGCACTCTGTGCGACTACAAGTCTACTCAAAAGTCTACTCTAAAGCGCCATGTTGTTTTGATGCACGAGAAACGCAAAGATGTAAAAGAAAAGGAAAAGAGGGAGCACAATAATGTTGAAAAGTCTAAGTAAGACGAATCGCCGAGATAGTCTAGTGCGGCACTCTATCTAACGCACACGGGGATAAGCCCTACCATTGCACGCTGTGTGACTACAAGTCTTACCCAAAACTCCACACTATAAAAAATATAAAGCCGAATGTTTCTTCGACTCACGGAAAACGGCATACGATGTTGAACTATACTCTTAGATTAGTTTATATAGTTTTGTATGTATTTTGTACAATGTACAAACTAGAAGACATTACAAAGACACATATTTTGTGTATTTCTATATTCCTTGCATCGCATACTCTGATGATTTTATTGTGCCAAATGCCAGCTATTGAAGGACACGGGCACTTCCGTCGTACGATCGTCGTACGATCCCAAAATGCGGACATTCTTGGGGTAGTCGCACATATGTCGTGCGAAATTGAGTCGTCTTATTACGACAAAGGCTACCTTATATCATTGTCAATAGTTGGTTCTGTCGCAGCCTGCTTGAAAAGTACGACGTATCGCACGACGACCTACGACGAATGTGAACACATGTACACCATATAAGCGATCACGAAACCTTACTGGAGTTATGATTGAATGGCTATGTCAGTACGAGGTTATACGACTGATATACGACTGAACTATCCGAACTTCAAAGTCATTTGTGAGCCATCCTCGCCAGGAATGAGAAAGCCCTTGTCAATGAGGTCTTCCACAAACTCGAACTCGATGATTCTGTCCCCGAGGCCCTTGGGGACCACACCTCGCGACAGGGCCACCGTCATAAGTGCCTTGGAGGTCACAGACATGTCCTGTAGGTAATAAATAAATATGTCAGTATGAGTAGTAGTACACATTTTGCAATGTATCAACTTTTGTTACGTCCTGGTACCGAGGTATTGTTTTGGATGTGTTTGATTGTGTGTTCGAAGGTTTATTGCATGCAATAGACTAGATAGACGGATGAGAGGTTTATTTTGTAACCACAGATTGACCTTAAGGTCAAGTTGGTAGTTGAAATGCTGCGAGGAATTGAGACCACCCAAAGAGTTACTGGGAGGTATACCCACTTAGGGCTTGTTACTTGTACAACAAGCTCTAAGCCTGCAAGGTTGAAAGTACTACTAGTATGTCAGACCATCAGTTTGTTTGCGACAGAGGTTTCAAATCTCTTATTTCTTGTTTGGTCTGCATTACTATTTACATTTAGATTGCAATGTATGTACGTTCTGAATCAGCAAACCAGTCTTGTGACTATGATTTTTTTTCAGCCCTACAAAGTGTGTGCGAGTTTTCGTACTGCAGGTTCTATACGTTCCAGAGGACGCTTACCGCCAATGTGTTGACCACTACTGAATATTAAATAGGTAAGAATAGGTATTATTATAACATAAGTACCTCGTCATCAGCAATGACGATACACCTTGAGAGGATCTGTGCCACCAGCTGGTCCTGTATGATCTGGTACAGCATGTGCTGGGGGAACAGGACGAAGCCAACTGTGGGTAGATACAGAAAATAATAGTTATGAGTGTCAAACGGTATACGATGCAGCTAAAGCGTTACCTTAACTATTGCTGGAACTAGCTAAAAGAAGCATGGACTTTGAAATGACTTAGAATATACCATAAAAACGTTTGCGGACATTGAGATAATTTACGTTTGCTCTCCTTTGCATGATATTATGAAATCAACTTGGGGTTTACAAAATAGTATAGTACAATAGTTTCAAAAAATGTACATACTAGCATTCCATAGTAGCCCAAAGAAGCTCGGCTCTTCCTCCTTGCGGCACAGACTTGCCAGGAACAGGTCGTATGTTCTGGTCGTGTTGGCTCGCACGAACATGTAGTACCTAACGGAGGGGGTAGGCGGCCTTATTAGAACAGCCTTGGTATTACCAATCACAAGCTATGCACAAACATGTAGGACGTCAAGGAGGGAGTGGGTTATCTTATTGGAACAGCCTGGGTTTGACCAATCACAAGCTTTGTACAAACATGAAGAGCGAAAAGGAGGGGGTGGTTGAGCTTATTGGAGCAGCTTGGGCATGACCAATCACAAGCTTTGTACAAACATGTAGGACATCAAGGAGGGGGTAGGCGGCTTTATTGGAACAGTCTGGGTTTAACCAATCACAAGCTTTGTAAGATCCAAAACACACGATCTTATGATGCTTCAAGAAAAAAAAATCCATCATGGGTATGCATTTCGTTCATGGTATACCATGTCTACAATACAAACAAACAAACAAACAAACAAACAAACATTTACAGGTTTCTAATGCTGAAATACGTACCTGTAGAACACACGTTTGGACCCCTCCTCACTCCCTCCCTTGTACACATGCACTTCCCCGGTACACTGCATTCTCTTCACCAACTCAAGCCGAGTCTAGGGAGGGATAAAAATGAATTGTTACTAATTAGCATTAAAATTAATAAGACTTAATTTCATGGATGACATACTTGCGCACATCAATTTTTGGCCGTTGTAAAAAAAATGAGGTAAGATGCTACAATTGAAACTATAGGTGGAGAAAACATGACCACCCCCTTACCTTACAGAAATGGAATAGCCCGTCTGGTCTAAATGACCTTTACCTTAACGTCTTCCTTTAAGTCGGGACAGGTGCCATCCACGTCATCAGCAATGTCTGTAAGATGTTCCCTCCTTACGTCTGTGTACGTCTTAATTCTGAAGTCCTTGGCGAGAGACTGCCATCCGTGAGACTGTAGGGTCTTGGTGTCAATGGGGGGAAAATAACACAATATAATATCCACCAAAGTCCAATCACTATTTCTGGAGATATTCTGATTAAAAAAAGATACAAACAAGAATTTATTAGACTTGCTTCCTGAATTCCCCCCATATATCGACTTCTTATTCCCAAGGCCACGTTCTGTGTTTATCCGCTTAACCTTGGATACCGTTGGACCTATAATTATGCCTGTCAATCTCCCCCAACCCACGTGCTGTCAACCAACTCTATCTGCACAAACGTACACACAAACCAACAAAGCTACTCAAAACAATACTTCTGTGCCGGGAAATAATCAGTGGACCAACATTACTATATGTAGTGTCCTTTAGCGGACATAATAAAAACTGTCCGTACCGTTTTCAACAGCTGGCGATCTTTCTCGGGGAATCTCTTGATTTTACCGTTCAATGACACCTCTTTGGCCCCGGAAACAGGCCGACATACCGCCATGTCAGACTGAAATGTGGAGCGTTAGAAGAATGATAGAGAGACAGTTGCTTCCCCCCTCTATGAAAGAGGAACTGAAACTGATATGGTGACGTAGCGAAACTTTCGGGAATCTGGAAATACCCTATGTGAACCTCCTTGGCAGTGTGTTAGTTTACTGTGTATGACCTACCAAGGACATATTTGTTATATAGGGGTATAACGTCCTTGAATAATCTATGTACTATGATAATGGTGCACTGTACATGCATCAACGTATCATGAAATAACGACCCAATACCATCTCCAATTGCAATTGTTCTATAGGTTTTCATTGATTATGCAAATAATGATCCTTATTAGCAAAAATTATATTTGATGACTTTTTCTACTCAAGTAAGTCGTCAAAAGCATGAAAGTCTTATTTTAGCAAAGAAGGCTTTTACCATGTTTATTAATCATGCAAATGAGGCCCTGATTTGCATTTTTGTACGCGTATTTGTGAAATACAGTAATAAAATCGCCAACATTTTTTCATTTTTCATGACATGGTGACGGCACACTCAAGTTACGTCAACTTATTTTAAGTCGCCACCAACGCAGAGGACAAATGCAGGACAGGACAGTACTCATTTTCACTTGTGAGGAAAGTCGTGTTAAGTGCTTTTCCCAAGGGTACAAGATCGGTTTCAGGATTCGAACCCGGGACCTCTTGGCTCCGAGTCGAGCACTCTGCCGCTACGCCACACGACCCACAAATTATACAAATTAGCTTAGGTACTAGTAATTAAATTTTCTCTCTTTCCTTTACTGCGTCGGTCGCGTAAGCTGGCAACAGCGTATAATATTGACGTTTCATAATTTATTAGGAGATAGCTAGCGAAGTCATTTGCATGCTACACATAGTGGGAACTTCCACCGGTTTCGCATACACGTACAGTTTCGATGCGTACCACGTACACGTAGTTTCTATGAGAATGAGTCATTTTGCTAAAAATTACGCGGGGAATTTTATCGGTTTCACATACAGTTTCGATCACACCACATTTCTGGGAAATCCTAAATAGAAGACGTCAGTGTCACAGGACTATTTCCCTTCGTAGTTTCTGTCACATGATATTATAATGATACATGTATATAAGTCAGTATCTTCCTGGTTCTTTGTTTAACCAGCGCACTAGAGGCTACAGTAGCGTTGCGTGGGGGCAGCTCCAATTTCAGACGGCGATTCCTAGGTAAGAAACTAGTACATACTTTCGATTTGAACTTCTATTTTAGTTGATCATATCATAGATTGATCACCTCTATTCTGGGAATGAATGCGCTCCGATCTACATGTAAGACAACTCTAGTAACGGGCTATTTTTCAAGCAGATGTGGGAAGGGGGTCGTTTTTGTGTAGTCTCCGTCTACTAGTTTGCTACATGCACAGACGTCTAGCGGGCCGGCGTTTTGTTTCTACGAGCGGCTAGAGCGGCGGTTGCTTTTTTTTCGGGGTGAAGGGGCTTGATCGGGCTGAGAGAGCAGCATCCACGGAGACTGAGAGCGGTAACGCCCGCTTCGCGGATATACAACTCACCCCGGCCCCTGAACAACATCCTCCCCCTGAAAACACCGCAGCTCTAGCCGCTAGTGGCAAGAGGGTCTGCATGGGGGGATTCCAATTTGTCTACTACTATTCAAGATAAAAATGACCTAATCTGGGGCGAAATCTTCCTTAGTTTTCAAGCAGATGTTGGTTAGAAACGTTTTCTGACTTAGTACCAGGCCTCTCTGAAATCGCCTCTAGCTTTATAATAGTGGAGGGCTGTTCTTGCAATTTTCCTTCCTTTAGAGAGTTTACCATTACGTGTTGGTGCGTTTCTACGGATGCACAATGCATACAAACTATTAGGAGGTATTCCAGATAAATACTAGTCTACTGCATTATTCCAGTCATGCTACATCCACTATGATCGCGCTCTGGGGTCAGGCAGCAGAACTAGAGTTCCACGATATCATACCTTCGCCAAATGATGTCAGACAACAGAACTAGAGTTCCACGATATCATACCTTCGCCAAATGATGTCAGACGACAGAACTAGAGTTCCACGATCTCATACCTTCGCCAAATGATGTCAGACGACACAACTAGAGTTCCACGATCTCATACCTTCGCCAAATGATGCCAGACGACAGAACTAGAGTTCCACGATCTCATATCTTCGCCAAATGATGTCAGACGACAGAACTAGAGTTCCACGATCTCATACCTTCGCCAAATGATGTCAGACAGCAGAACTAGAGTTCCACGATCTCATACCTTCGCCAAATGATGTTAAACTTTACGTCTGACAAATTTAAATGTTTCTCATTGATTATGCTAATTAGATCCTCTTTTGCTTAAACTATCTCTCCTTTGCATTTATTGTTGTGTTGTTGTTTTATAATGTGGTGCAAATATCAGCTAATTATGCTGCCTGGTACTCCCCAGTCTACTGCTGTTGTAATCCGAGTAAAGAAGTAACGAGCCATGGCATTGGTGGAAGAACAGAACACCGCCATTCTCAGCGGAAAGATCAAACGATTCCAAGTGGACGTTCGTGTGGCGATTCAAACGGTAGGCAATGAATGAATGCATGAATGAATGTACGAGTGAGTGAATAAATGAATGGATGAATGAATGAATGAATGGATGAATGAATGAATGAATGAATGGATGGATGGATGATGAATGAATGAATGAATGAATGAATGAATGAATGAATGAATGAATGAATAAATGAATGGATGAATGAATAAATTTGTAGCTTCGATTCCCCATTATCAACCGGGGCCAGTTTCTGATGTATTTCAGTTTTACATTGTTAAACTGTAATCAAGTATAAATGAATACATCTAATAAAGAAGTTTTAAAGACGTGTATTACAAATACATGACCGATGGCTAATTGCAGGTACATAGTACAAATAACATGTATGAAAACAAAAAATACAATTATATAAGTACATCTAACATTATGCTACATTCTACAACATACTTGCTGCTAGTAATAAAAGAAAACGCCTACTCTTTTTTCATGCCTTTCATTCGAAAACACGGTATTTTTCCCGTGCCTACTAGAGTAAAGAAATAAATCTGCTTTAATACTGTTCAGTACGGTGGCCCGTAAGTACAGCTCTGCGTCAGTCTGCGCGAATACCTTCCACGTCTGCGCAAATACCTTCCTCGTCTGCGCGAATACCTTCCTCGTCTGCGCGAATACCTTCCTCGTCTGCGCGAATACCTTCCTCGTCTGCGCGAATACCTTCCTTCGACGAGGAAGTTTTTTATGTGCAGACGAGGAAAGTATTCGTGCAGACGAGGAAGGTACTCGCGCAGATGTGGAAGGTATTTGCGCAGACGTGGAAGGTATTCGCGCAGACGTGGAAGGTATTCGCGCAGACACGCAGGGCTGTACTTACGGGCCACCGTAGTTCAGAGCTAACATACCTCCTCCCCAAATGTTGCAGGCGCTGAGGGAATGTGGCTGGCAGTCCCTGACTAAGGAGTTCAGTGTGGAGTCCTACACCCAGCTGGACAGGGAGGGGCTGGACCTGATCGTGGACTGTGTGGACGAGGGATTTCCCAACTTCAGGGAGGATGTGCAGGCTCGAGTAAACGTGGCCAAGAGAATGCACGCCACCGGGCGGGCAGAAGTGTACAAGGGTAGAAACCAGCACGGATTCCACGATAAGTTCTACCGGTGAGTTTCTTCAAGTAGGTACCCTGTGGTTAGCTATATATACATGTACATGTAGGGTTATTAGAATCTGAACATCCTGGATTCAATCACTTCGACAGAATTGAATGTTGCTTGTTACACACGCTACTGCCTTCAAATTCAAAATATAAAATGAAGGAAAGAAAAATCATTGTTTTGTCATTTGACGTCATGAATGATATGATCCAGGTACTACCTGTTTGTGCGCGCCAACACCAACGGTACATACGACATCTTCCTGGCCTACGTTTGCCGTAAGGAGGAGTTCGACTTCTTCTTGGCCGTCAAGAAGAGCATCGCGGGTAAGAAAATTGCTTCATGTGGGTTGAAGCTATCTACATTTATATAGACGGTGTCTATAGATGTTATAATATGTCCAGATATGCCATCTTATAGTAGCGTGCACTGTCCAGTGGTTAGTGAATGTTGTTGCCGTAAAAATTCCACGGCGTGCCCTAATTAAAAATGACCTGGGCGGGCGGGCAACAGCCCAAGCACCGCAGAGATACCCAGGAAGCTCCCGGTGGTATGGTAGTACCACGCTACCCCATGTCAAGCCAGATATTTTGCCCCTGACAAATACTTGCCTCGGCATTACTTGGGGGTTTCCAGTACACCTGAGACAAGGGGTGGGAGGGGGTTGGTCATTCTGAAGACTAAACCTAACTAAAAACCTAACCCAAACCCTAGGCCTAACCCTAACCTAGTACATGAATCCTAATCTTAAACGTTACAACCTAACCTAAACGCTACCCTAGAACACTCTGGCACAACGCTGGTAGAGACTAATCATGAATCCAACTCACGTTTGTATTTGACAGGATCCATGAACGTGATCAGAAGCGTGCCGGAGATCATCTGGAAGAAGCTGGCAGGAGACTCCAAAGTCGCCCAGGCTATCACAGAAGGGGTCATAGGCGACGGCTCTCAGGTATTGTCGCCATTCCTTGTGTAGTTGTAGACTTAGATGTGAAAGTACTAATTTGATACAAAGAACATTATGTTTCTATTTATGTTGATTCTTTACAGAAGGAAACATTGTTTTTGGTCAGTTACTTTCTCTTCTCGATCCAAAAACACGACCTCGACCAGACGTCTGTCACCATGGTAACCGGTGCTGTAGCAGACACCCGTTAGGTTACATTATGTAGCAGGACAGAGCTGGAGGGGCTGGTCACCATATACTAGTTTAAGAATAGATAGGGAAGACGTCTGTTACGCTAGATCATGTGAAGGTAAACATATTTATCTTTTTCATCTATCATGCATTTGTTTTGCAAATGTTAGCTTTCTATTTCGAATTCCTTGTTTTTTTAACTCCAGGCTGCCAGTGTTCCCACGTATGGCGGGATCCCAAACGACCTTGGCGACAAGCTGATGGAGTTTGAGTTCGTGGAGAGTCTGATCGAGCGGGGAACTCTGGTCCCTGAGGGCGAGGACGGGACCAAGTTCAAACTTGTCATCTGCTAGAGACCATGTCTAGTGCTAGTATATACAGTCCAGCGGCAAACCTGCGTAGTAGCCAGACTACTTCACGATTCAAGATAGCCACCTGTGTAGACTTTTCTAGCAACCTGTGTCTGTTTCTAGTACATGTATAATTATGAATCGGGGGAGGGGGGCTGTATCGGGGGGATAGCTGTATCAGCCAATTAAATCTAAATAATTCCAAGAACTTTCAGTCCTTTCACAAAACTTTTTGACATCAATCATTCAATGCGTGCGTAATGCACGTGCTATTTGTAACTCTATTTATGTTGAGACTCGGAATGAATGGCATTTATTGTATTTCATGACCCGAGACCAAAATAAAACGTAATTTAACGTAAAAAAATAAGCAGGAAATAAAGCTTTATAATTCTTGTAGTACAAACAGAGAGCAATCTAAAAGATGTTAGTAATATAAGTTATATGTTTCTGTACTGTTTGCTGGTGTATAGACGCATCTCTTTGTGACATGGTATAGAATCTACGTTGACTTTTATCGTTTATCTTTTGAATTACAAAGTGAGAAGTATACGTGTATTTGTCAAAGACCAAAAACATTTTTTACAGAAAACATGTCTTTTACAGAAAATCTGTGCGCAAAATCATTGTAAGATTTTCTCTGTGTGTACGAAACATATACAGAGGCTGAAAAGCATGGTATAATATCAGATGACAGTGAAGAAATGAAAGTTTTCATGAAATATAAACAAACTTAAAAATTAATGGTCTCTTTCCTGTTCTTCTTTAGCTACACTTACTCTAATGAATTCTTATAACTTACAAAGTACAATTAAAACACTCAAAAATATTTCCAACTCGCCATTTATATTTAACCTTGTCCAGTATATGTAAACGGTGTCAATAACTATTAATTCTAAAATACATACACATAGCCTGGGTATTAGCTATCCTTTCTAAAGGGAAGCTTAAGAGTCAATAAATTTACAATCGTGGAATTTGATCTACGATAAACTTTGATCTCAGATGACATAACACACAACATAAAGCGTGTAACATTGGCAACACAACCACCAAACACACTACAATAAAAAACGCAGTCCTCGTCCTATATTCTTCTTCATATCTAATCGGCGGGTATAGAAAAGTTTCTCCGTTTTTCCCAAGCCCTCCTAGTGCCCAATATACAAGTGAAAAGACTGCATAAGAAGTCCCTACTAAATCGGGGTACACAAAATGGGACATTTTTACTGGTATACCGTTTAGTAAGATGTCTACGGTGACTATAACACTGTTGACAATGTGTTCCATGATCCCAATAAAATATCGCGGAGTAGCGATCAAAGTTAGGTACAGTGCGGTGACGCAAAACGAAGAACTGTAAGCCAGATTAGCAAGAAGCCAAGCAGTCTTGTAGCACCATGTCAGTTTGCTACCATTGTCTGTAGAAAAACTCTGGGTATCGTCCTCTGCCGAGCTGCAGTACCGATGTTTCCACGCTAGGGCGGCGCTGTAGACGAGATGGGCGGTGAGAAGAGTCATGGTCCAGTGAGTGAGTCTGGCGAACCACAGCCAATCTTGCTTCCACACGGCGTGTAGAATAGACCAGACGTTGAAAGAACCCCAGAAGGCGGCCACCAAGACTCGGTACAAGACGAAAACCGTCTGATTCTTCAGAACCTGTCAAAGAAACCACCTGTTAGACCAGACCAGACCAGTTTATTATACTGTTTATCAGACATTTTAAGGTAACGTCCAGAAATTGAACAGGACCAAAATTAGCCTGAGTGTCAGCGTTTTTGCCTTTCGTCCGGATCCGCTCCCCACGCTACAAACCCACAGCCAAGCCACCCAGAACAATACTTCCCAACCCGGAAGTACTAGTAACAAAAACATTTCCAGTGTACTATATGATTTTGCCACACGTTATAGTGTACAAGTTTCAGCTAACATGAATACTTACCGGTGAGGTGTAAAATGCCCTTCTATCGTGGTGGTCCAAAGAAAACAGCCGAACGGAAAAATTCACGAGTCTGGACATCCTGATGCCTTGTGGGTATGATTTCCGGCAACACTGGGTGATTTTATATCTTGTCAACATTAAAGTTCAGAACGTACAAACGACAGGCACTACGACTTTTGAATCCTCCAGACAACAGGAAATAGGGCACCAAAGAAACACGCTTAACTGAGCGAGAGTTCGACCCCGATATAGTAACCTGGGGCCGCGAGTGACCTCTTTATGCAAATGCGAAAAGACCCGAAAACCAGTCTTTCCACTTGTCGAGCTGTTGTCTCCTAGCCCAGAACAAAGCATATCGCGCGATCGCATAGTTGAATTATTTTTGTGTTACGCAACAAAGCACATGTTTGTTCCTAATTTCAGCCTTCAACTATTGTGTAATGCCAGGCCAGTATCATTGCTGAACAATTGCATTCTGTAATAGAGAATCAGGATTGAAAAGAAGAAGAGGGGGAAAAAAGTAATCGGAAATTTTAGATTTGCGGGAAGTATATGAAATTCTTCCTTAATTCCCCCATGTCGACCCCTGGCCAGATTCTGAGCCCTTCACCCCATTTCATGTGTCTGACCTTTTGACCTCCTCTCATTCTGCCTGTCAGTCTTCCCCTGACACCCACTTGCTATCAAACTACTCTGTCTGGACAAATATACACACAGATCCACAGTTCAAACACCAAAACAAAGTACATGTACTAGTAAGTAAAAATGAAGAAAGAAGAAAAAAAAAAGAAAGTTGCGTTGGCCGGGAATCGAACCCGGATCTACTGCTTGGAAGGCAACAATGCTGACCATTACACCACCAACGCTTCTACAGGTACAACCGTCCGTCTGTTGAATTTGAAGGTTGAAAGGACGTAACAAAAAGTCATTGATACTTCAATAACTCTGCCCATGCAGTACAATAATATTTACTTTGTGAATTGGGGAAAAGAAAAACATTGAAAGAATATCGGTCATCATTTCAACACTTAATCTAATCAAGAAGGTTGTTCCAAGATGGACATAATTCCCTTGGTTGGTTTAATCAAATCGATATTGTGTGACATCCGTATCTGTACAGTAAGTATTACCGCCCTTAGGCGTAACACACCGGCTTTTTCAGGTACGATGCGCGTGGTAGCAGCTGGTTACATCTCACAATACATGTTCATCTTGTCACAAAGCTCTTCCACTGAGGCAGCGATCACTCAAGCGACCAACTTTGACTCCTAAGTGAATTTCATTGATAAAAAGACATGTATTTTATATGTAAGTTCTGTGTGTTTTGTCAAAAAGGTTAACCAGCTTAGTTTTGTTGTCTTTTTTTGTATGACATATGACTTTATGAAATGTAAAAATGGTTTTTCATTTCATAAAGTCATAGGTCATACAAATCCAATTTTGGTCACTTCACGGTCTCCAGAATAGGATCTGACTTTGTTTGGTACAGAAAATAATGAACGATAATACATTGTACCAAAATTTGGTATACCTGTTGTTTAGAATATTCTAAACAATGTACAATGGAGAATCTAAATTTTCGCAGTTTTCTGTCATTTTACTATTAAAAAAAACATTTCAGGCAGCTCTGCCATTATACTTGAATGCTGAAATTTGGCACAAGGGCATGTGCCCTGCTTAATTTGCTAGGAGGCAAAAGCTCAACAAGTGGAAAACCGGTTTTCTGCACTTTACGTACTAAGTAAGGCGTTGGCATGAATTGGTCACAAGTGCCCGGGGGTTACAATTTGGTGGATCTAACTCTCCCTCCCAATTTGGCGAGTCTTTCTCTGGTTTCATAGGTCTCCTGTTGTCTAGAGGTTTGAAAAGTCGCCATATTTCCTGTATAAGCGTTCTAAACTTCGATCTTGACAAGATTTAAGATCGCCCAGTGCTGAATCATACCCACAAGGTGTCACAATGCCCAGACTTGTGAGTTCGTGGCTTCGGCTGTTTTTCTTGGACCACCATGACAGAAGAGCATTTTACACCTCACCGGTGAGTATTCTTCTTGCCTCTACTCATCGACCAAACATGTTATATTCTCGAAGCAGAGAGATAGAAAAACAGGTAAATTTAAGCTGCTTTGTTTGAACATAGTTGGGCTATAAGTCATTTCAAATTGGCCAAGGACTTAAAGCTGGCGGCCACGTACCTATATAATTTAAGGATTGCGAGGTGGCCTTGTGATCAGCCTTGTTGACTTAGAATCAAATGTTATGGGTTCGAATCCCAGCCAGGCCAGTGTTCTGTCATCGTCGTCTTAGAAACAAAAGGTTATGGGTTCAAATCCTGGCCAGGTCAGTTTTGTGTTATTGGGAAAGGTGTTTTACGCCTCAAGGCGGTTTACCGGTTGAGCGAAACTGTTGTTTTGGGTGATTGAGTTTTGGCTTTGTGTCTCTGCCTGTCCTTTATAGCCTCAGTTGCATAGTGGGTGGGAGGTGATTTCGACAGTTGATTGATATGGAGGACACGCCTTTCTGGTATGTGGAGGAATTCAGGAAGAGGTATAATACCCGATTGAATTACATCATTTAGCCTTCTTCACATTGCCGCTATTACGTCAAACCAAAACACTTCCTGTAAAATCCCTGATTTTGTCTTGAGAAGCAAGATAATAAATTGATGTCACCTAAAACAGATAGCAAGGTCACACAAAACAATACATTAGTCTAACATTATCGTTTTTTTTCTTTGACAGGTTCTGAAGAATCAGACGGTTTTCGTCTTGTACCGAGTCTTGGCGGCCGGATTCTGGGGTTCTTTCAACGTCTGGTCTCTGGTCAACGCCTTGTTGGAAAAAAAGTGGCTGTGGTTTGCAAAAGTCACTTATTGGACCATGACTCTTCTCACCGCCCATCTTGTCTACAGCGCCGTCCTAGCGTGGAAACATCGGTACTGCAGCTCGGCAGAGGACGATGCCCAGACTTCTTCACGTCAACGAAAGAATACTAGTACTGACAAACTGACGTGGTACGAAAAGACAGCTTGGATTCTTTTCAATCTGGCAAGCGCTTTTGCGTTTTGTGTCACTACGTTGTACCTAACTCTAATAGACACACCACGATACTTTGTTGGATACATGGAACACATTGTCAACAGTGTTTTAGTCATCATAGACATCATACTTAGCGGTATACCAGTAAAAATCTCTCATTTTGTGTACCCCAATTTACTAGGGGCTACTTATACAGTCTTCTCAATGATATATTGGGCACTCGGAGGTCTCGGAAAGAATGGGGAAGCTTTTATATACGGACCTCTTAGATATGAGGAAGGATACAGGGTTAGGACTTTATGTTTTCTTGTAGTAGTGCTTTTTGTAGTGTTGCCATTGTTCCATGGTGTGTGTTGTGCCCTGTGTTATGTGAGATTATGGATTATAGTAAACATTATTGCTAGAAAAGGATCGAAAAGGGACTACAACCAGGCTGGAAGTTGGCGAATTTAGAATCATTCGTTTTTGTTGTGTGTGTTTGTTTCCTTGTGTATATCCACAGTTATTTGAAAACACTAGAGGCATAGGAAGTGAGGGGAAATGATGTAACCACAGGCTGACAGAAAATGGTCTGGCCACAGGCTGTGAGGAAGAGAGGCGGAACTGCAGATCAAAGTGGTCACTGAAAATCGTCAGATATTAGTAGTAGTAGTAGTAGTAGATTGGTTTATTATTGTTGCTTCACAACAAACATTTACAGTCTCGCAGTGTAAGTAGTAACTCGCACTGAATTGAACTGGTAAACATTAATATAACAGGTAGTGACATAATAACACATTTAAAATACAGGTAGAGATATCACGATTAAAATCACTCGTTACATATAGTCGTGCTAGTAAATGCTAGTAACCTGGCAGCACAGCCCCTCAAAAAGCAGGTATAACTAGAGTTCCACGATCTCATACCTTCGCCAAATGATGTTAGCCTTTATGAATAAGAAATATACTAATCACCCTGATTATGCAAATAGGATCCTCAATTGCATGAATTATATCAGTCTGTTGATCATATTCTCCACCAAAAGACCGTCTTATCTTAACAAAGAATGCCATTTTCTCATAAATTATGCAAATGTGGTGCTTATTTGAATAAGTTATGTTTAATTATGTTCACCTTCACTTAACTTTCAAACACCCCAAGTATGAAATTCCAGGCAGTTACCACTACGCAATTATAACATTTTCTCATTAATTATGGAAATTAAATCTTCATTTGCATAATCAATATTTGCCTGTGTTTCTCTCGTTCTTAATAACATATGTTACAAGCTTGAACTTCCTATCATGGAATGCAGCTGATTTATAGAATTTCCTCATTAATTATGCAAATGACATCAATATTTGCATAATTGTAATATCATTATGTCAAGCATCACTTAAGCTACCTACATACCAAAAATCACGATGATCCATCAATCGGTTCTTGAGTTATCCTCCTTAAAACATTTGTCCTTTAAACCCCCCTGCAGTTCTAGAGCAAGCCGCTAGGGGGCCTAAACTCACGTCACTTCTTCCCCAGCACAAGAGCTACCTACCATCTAAATTTCATCACCATAGCATGTCTGGATCTTGAGATATCAAAACCGGAAGTTCAGCTGCAGTACCATAACAAGCCGCTAGGGGGTCCAAAATCTAATCATTTTGAGGTCTCATCAAGACCTACCCATCTACCAAGTATCAAGACAATCCATCAAGGCCTTCTCAAGTTATCGTGTTGACAGACAGACAGACAGACACACACACACACAAACACACACATACACGAACGACCCTGAAAACATAACCTTCTTGGCGAAGGTAAAAATTACTGTTGCGTTGGCCGGGAATCGAACCCGGATCTACTGCTTGGAAGGCAACAATGCTGACCATTACACCACCAACGCTTCTACAGGTACAAACCGTCCGTCTGTTGTATTTGACGTCGACGGTTGAAAGGACGTAACAAAAAGTCATTGATACTTTAATTACTCCCCAATACTTAGTTTGCAGAATGGGGGAGAGAAACAAACATTAATAATAATTAAATATCGATTGACATTGAAAGAAAATTGAAAGTGTATTTTTTTGTATTTTGTGTGCTTTTCTAAATAGTTATACAAATGATACAAATCCGAGATGGGTTTTTTAGTGGTCTCCATCCAAGATGTTTCACGTTTCAACATTGACGGAATAGAATCTGACATCGCTTGGTAGAGAAAAGTTTAAATCATCATATGCTGGAAAAGTTTGCAAATTTCATTAAAAGCACCAAATTCTATTTTCTTCTAATCAAAACTTATATGCATATGGCAGCATCTAAATGTTTGACATTTTCGGTTAGTTTTGCATAAAAATTACCCTGCACCGGGGTTACGATTTCCAGATGGAACTCTCTCCCTCAGTTTGGCGAGTCTTTCTCTGGTTTCCTCTTACTCCTGTTGGTTGAGACGTTAAAAAGTCACCATATGTCTCGTCTAGACGTTCTGGACTTCAATAATGATAAGATATAAGAGACCATAAGACCGTCCAGTGCTGATATCAAATCCGGAAGGAGACAGGATGTCCAGACTAGTGAGTTCGTGCGCTCAGCTGTTTTCTTTGGACCACCGCGACAGAAGAGCATTTTACACCTCACCGGTAAGTTCTTATTTTACGTCAATCTACTGACCTAAATGTATGTTGTATTTGAACCAGAAGATAGGAAAAGAAACACAATGCATTAGCATCTACAGTATTTACCTTTCAAATGGGCCGCGGACTTAAAGCCGGTGGCCACGTGCATTATATAATTTAATGAACGAATGACGACCTTTATTTTGCCACACTAGGCTATTAATGTACAGGTCGACACAACAACAGATACAGTATAAAGATACCAAATAAAACTAACTATCATTAGATAAATTCGACTTTTTCTTGCTTAAATGGTGGCGAGGTGGCCTTGTGGTTAGGGTTGTTGTCTTGGTTTTGGCTCATGGGTTCGAATCCTAAGCAGGCCCCAGTGTTCTGCCTTTGGGAACCCCATACAGTAATACGTATATATGTAGTTCCTCTACTTTCGTGTATCTACATTGTTTGAGGTGGCTGAGTTATGGGTTTGTATCTCTGCCTGCCATTAAATTGTATGGTGGGTGGGAAGTGATTTTGACAGTTGATAGGGGGTCACACTTGAAGATGAGTGGTATGTGGAGGAATTCAGAAAGAGGTGTAATACCCGATTGAATTAAATCACACAATCTTCTCCACAGTTCCAGTAGTTACGAAAACCAGAAACACTAAAATCGTCAATTTCTTGCGTACTCTGAAATGTTTCCGAACCAAGTAAATAATTAATATGGCCAGATAATATACAAAAACATCATTCTTTTCTTCCTTCACAGGTTCTGAAGAATCAGACGGTTTTCGTCTTGTACCGAGTCATGGTGGCCGGATTCTGGGGTTCCTTCAACGTCTGGTCTCTTTTCAACGCCGTGTCAGAAAAAAGGTGGTTGTGGTTTGCTCAAGCCACTCACTGGGGCTTGACCCTTCTCACCATCCATCTTGTCTACAGCGCCACCCTAGCGTGGAAACATTGGTACTGCAGCTTGGCAGAAGACAATACCCAGACATCTTTGCAGGAACCAAAGACTACGAACGATGGATGCAAACTGACGGGGTACGAAAAAACAGCCTGGATTCTTTTCAATCTGGCTAGCTCTCCTTCATTTTGTGTCACTCTGGTGTACCTAACTCTAATAGACACACCACGATACTTTGTTGGATACATGGAACACATCGTCAACAGTGTTTTAGTCATCATCGACATCGTACTAAGCGGTATACCAGTAAAAATGTCCCATTTTGTGTACCCCTGTTTCTTACGGGCTACATATGTAGTCTTCTCAGTGGTATATTGGGCACTTGGAGGTCTTGGTAAAAACGGGGAAACTTATATATACCGAGCATTTCGATATGAGGAAGGATACAGAATGAAGACTTTATGTATCGATGTTGTATTACTTCTGGTTGTTGTGCCACTGATGCATGCGGCATGTTGTGCCTTCTATTACCTAAGATCTTGGATTATTGTTAATATTTTTGTGCGACAAAAAAGTTTGCCTCTTTCCGCACTAGAAAGGAACAACAACCTGGCTAGGGTGTAGGCAAATTCAGAATCATATGTTTTTGGTGTGACTGGCAAAAAACAGTTACTCAAGCAACTGGATAATGTTAAAAATCAAATTCAGTTTAATTTAGTAACTGTTTTTTGGCATAGCTTATTATCTGGATGTCTAACCTTCTACATGTGTAGTTACAATGTATTTGAATACAGTAGAGTCATAGGAAGTGAGGGGGGAAATGATATAACCGCAGACTTCTAACAGGCAGATCTAATTAGAGGTCAAAATGGTCTCGCAAAGGCTGGGAGGAAGAGGAGTAGAATTGCATGAAGGTCAAAGTAGTCATTGAAAATTGTACAATACTGACATCATATATGTTGTCATGATAAGTCATCTCAAAGATATAATAAGAAAGGAAGAGTTAAACATGCAAAAAGATAGAACCTGGAGTCGTTTTTGTATTTTATTTCAAATTACTTTCTGAGTTATTAGTAGTTGTGAACCTATCTGTTCAATTCCAAAATCCAGGACAAATTATGACAAATGATAGTAACAAATAAAAAGATGAATTCTTACTTTGTGGTCCCGTTTTTCATACTATTGCACAACAGCAGTTATTATTGAATGTTCATAGGATTACTCACTTGTGATATAATATTGAAAAAAATCTCATAAACATAATCTTTTTTCTGCCTGTGCATCAACTTGTGGAAGAAACCATTTCGGAAAATAGGGGTAATAAAAAATTAATAGCACACCTGCATACATAATTCTTCACTTTTCCATTCCATTTTTATGTCTTTTCCTGGCTATTTAAATGTGAATTATTTTGAATTATTGTTGTTGAACATTTAAAAACAATCATAACGCACCCCCTCAGAATTAATGGTTGGTCCCTGTTTACCAATTCTACATTTCCGTTACGCTGCCATTTGTAAGATAAACCCACCACAGATAATTCTATATTTCATAACTCTCATAGTCACCATAATTTGCAGCTATAGTTTTCCTCAATTTTCTGGATGTGACAATTTTTACAAACCAAACTTCCACAATTCAATTGGGTTCAAATCTAGCCAGGACAGTTAAAATTATGAAGAGATTCTGATGGTCAAACTGAACATAGAAAAAGTACTGCCTATTCATGCTTACAGGTACCAGTTAATTGAATTAAATCTTGTTAGCCAGTGAACTAATCATCTAAACTTCTTTTAGTACTCCTATAATCCATGGATTGCTCCTTCTCTGTATTCATATTGTTTTGATACAGAAATTTTTATTGGGTACAACACAATGATTGACAGCTACAGATGGTGGGTGGAGCTTGCAAAACTTAGTTTGATTGGCTACTTTAGTAATGATTGACAGCTACTAAATGCTATTGATTGGTTACTACTATCATAATTGACAGCTTCCACTGGTAGGTGGAGCTTCCACATGCAACTCTGGTTGGTTACTACAACGGTGATTGACAGCTACGAATGGTGGGCGGAGCTAACTCCAACCAACAGGCATCTTACAAAAGACAGCGTAACGCTAACCCCTATTCGTCCAGCAAGGTGAGAGTCTGACTCCCGGTGAAGGACTGACCGGCGCCCAGGGACAGGGGCGTGGCCACGTGACCTGCTTCCACGCAAAGCATGCTGGGATACTCGTTGTCTCCAAAGTCGCCCATGGCCTTGGCCTTGTCGACCCAGGGGTTCCAGACCACCGTGTCGGGGAGGTTGGTCTTCTCCATCAGGATTTTACCACCACCGACGACTCCTATGTGCAAATATTAAACGCACGATAATATCAATGTCAGCTTGCATGTAATTTACTATCATGAAAGTTCATCTGTGTTGGTAGTTACATGTTTAAAGTTAAAACTTTTGATTCAACACAAAAGTGTTTTATGTCACACGTCAAAGAAGCCACGTGACTGGGTCAGTCTACTGACTCAGAGGAAGACAAGAGTGACTGGTCGAAAGCTCAAGGTGAGAGAATTTCTTTGTGTTAACACATGTTTCTTTGACTTAACACATGTTGACCAAACTGTTAATCCAAGGACAATCAAGGTGATAGAACCTGCTTGGTTAATCTAAACGCTACTTACCTGTGATGACATGACTGTTGGGGGTGCCGGCGTAAGTCCGGTCAACTTCTTCCGCCACCGTCACAAGGTCACGGTCTTCTGTGAACTTGGCATCTCCGCGTACCTATGATGAAAAGAAGGTTGAATTTACAAAATTATTGTATATACAGACATGCAAGCAAATGACGCTTTTACCAAATTAGCCAATAGCTATTGAGGTAGCCATTTGATTACTACCAGTAATTCTCTGTTGGTTACTAGTACAGATTAAAGTGTGGAGGAGATCAAAGACATTGGTTTGATCCAATCACACCAGGAAGGACCCCTAGTCTTTCCCATAAGTGTGGTGGGTTCTTTAATGTGCTCGAAGCTTGGCCCTTTGAAACACAGAGCATCCAGTCTAATGTCCTACATTTGTATCTGAGAGGACATTGGAAACCGAAACTTTGAGGGTACTAGTACTCGTTTTCACAATGAGTCCAGTGAGGAAATTTGTGTAAAATGCCTTTTCAAAGGGCACAACATTTTGAACTAGAGTTCCACGATCTCATACCTTCGCCAAATGATGTTAGCCTTTATGACTAAGAAATTATAGATGAATCCCCCTGATTGTGCGAATAGGATCCTATATTGCATCAATTATATCTGTTGATCATATTCTACACCAGAAGACAGTCTTATCTTATCAATGCATGCCATTATAGCATGTCCTCATAAATTATGCAAATGAGGTCCTTATTTGAATAAATTATGTTTAATAATGTTCACCTTCACATAACTTTCAAATATCCCAAGTATGAAATTCCAGACATTACCACTATGTAATTATAACATTTTCTTGTTAATTATGCAAATTAAGTCTTCATTTGCATAATCGATATCTGCCTGTATTTCTGCCGTTCTGCATTACATATATCACAAGCTTGAATAGTCCTATCATGGAATGCAGCTGATATATAGAATTTCCTCATTAATTATGCAAATTACATTAATATTTGCATAATTGTAATAACATTATGTCAAGCATCACTTCAGCTACCAACATGCCAAAAATCACGACGATCCATCAATCGGTTCTTGAGTTATCCGCCTTTAAACATTTTTCAACTAATGCCCCTGAAATTCCAGAGCAAGCCGCTAGGGGGTCCAAACTCACGTCACTTGTTCCTCAGCACAAGAGCTACCTACCATCTAAATTTTGTCACCCTAGCGTGTCTAGATCACGAGATATCAAAACCGGAAGTTCAGCTGCAGTACCATAACAAGCTGTTAGGGGGCCCAAAATCTAATCAGTTCCACGTCTCATGAAGACCTACCCACCTACCAAGTATCAAGACAATCCATCTTAGCCTTCTTGAGTTATCGTGCTCACACACACACACAGACACACGAACGCAAACGAAAACATAACCTTCTTGGCGAAGGTAATGAAATTTAAACCTAGGACAGTTTTGGTCATCAATTGGTTCTCCCCTGAAATCATCTCACCTTGTCGGCATACTCCAGCCCCTTCAGTCCAGACACGGTCGCCTTGGTTACGTCATCTGTCCTGAAGTAGGTGTGTAACAGGGTGGTGAAGGTGAAAGGATCCCCACCTGTGTTATCCACCTGCATAAACAAAGAGTCATTGTAAATGTGAAAATAAACAAACAAAACAAGAAATCATAGATCTCGTACCTCAAGGAATATATTTGTTTTAGCTTTTGTACATTTCTTGCATGCAGCATTGGCAGATTCATAATTCTGTCTATGCAGTTTTTTTATTGCAAATTAAAGACAGGATATTACATAACCTTTCCTGGAACCTTTGAGCTAACTTCCTGTAACAGACACAGCAAAAACATAGAAGAAAAACAACAAAAATTGTTAAGCTCATTTAAGGCCTAAGAAATGTTTTCTTTGAAACAAACCGTTCTTGTACATCATAACTTTTCACATAACGTTATAAGATGCATCTTTATGTTAGTGATTTCTAAACCCGGAAGTATTGTAACAGTTATGTACTAAATAAAATCTTACCTTCAGAGTCGTTGTGAAGGTTTTCTCGGTCAAGTACAGCGTGTAGGTCAACTTGAACTTGTGGTCCCACATCTTCCTGGTGTCCTTGTTGTCTGTCAGGGTGAAGACGGCAGCCATGCCTCCAGAATCGTCTTTTTCGGGCCTCTTTTCCAACTTCCACCTCGAGATTCTTGCAAATCCATGCTGGGGGCCAAGTTCCCATGGTCCGAAGTTGGGGAAAACCAGCGGTATTCCGCCCCGTATGGCCTTCTTGTTGTCGTAAACGGCGTTCTCGCTGACGAACAGGAGTTCTTTGCCCTGAGTCTTCCACGCCAGGACCGTAGCGCCGTGTAAGTGGACGGTAACGGTGGTTTTGTGGTCTTTGTCGAGGACCAAAGTTACGATATCTTTCACGGCGGCCATCTTGAGAGTGCACTTTGACCCTCCTCCACAAGTGGGCGTTTGGGGACGGTGCGTTAACAAAGGGGTAAGGCCATACTGATTTGATTGCATGGATAACATACGAGCACCTAAAACTGATGCGAGCGTGCGAATTACAAAAGAAAAAAAAATGTTGCCTTCATTTTAGCGGATCAACCCTGAAAATTTAGCAGATCAACCCTGAAAATTTCTTTCAAACCAGGCAGTGCGAGAAAACCAGAGGGCATAGTTCTTTGAAGCTAAAGGTGCCGATTGCCAAAACAACACTGAGACACCAGTCCTTTGCAGTAAGGACTGTACAACCCTGGAACTCCTTACCTAGTACAGTTGTGAAGGCTGAAAGCATTAACAGTTTTAAGACGAGACTGGATGACTGTTGGAGCAAGAGAAAATACCTAGAGTGAGGAGAGTGTGACTACAGGCTGATAGCCTTCTACACTGAGGGTTTCTCAAGGTATTCTCAAGGTATTTTAAAACCTAAGTGGTCAGGAAGGTTGAAAAAATGATTTTTTTTCTTTCAGTTTCACACCTTTGAAATTGGAATAATACATTAATGGTAATTCAAAACCTGCATCCTTTCCTCTGGCATCATCTTTTTTTCCCTTTCTTCCTCTACCATCCTTCACTCACTCACTCAGTCCCCTATATAACCAAAAATTTGGTTATCCTTCTAGTACCCAAAAAACAGTATGGTTGCAAGGCATTAGAAGTTCAGTAACTTTCGGTTCCACAAGCAAACATACACTGACAAATTACACACCCAAAACAATACCTCCATACCCAAAGGTAAGGATTGTCAAAATGGCTTTTTTTTAATCTCATGATTGTCAAAGTCATGATTAATATGGCATCTCTGACAGAAATATAAAATCATAGTTCATATATTTCATATTGTGTAGCTCCTTCATTGATAAGGTGAACGAACATGCTTCATGTTAATAAAAAAAATATGGCAAAATACAGCAAGAGCACCATTGGCAAAGAAAAATAAAGTTCAGTATTTTATAGAAAACTACAAGTAACTAGAAAGGTAACATTTGCAAAGCAAATGCATAATATTTACCTTTGCATATGGTTTGCTCTGTTAACACTTACTCAAATAGTCATATATTATACATGTACATGCCCCGGCAGACAGGAGTATAAATCCCTCCTACAATGAAATTGCAACATGATGTAACCCAACACCAGTTACTATGGCGAGAGACGTCAACAAATCAGGTCATTGGCCAGGTCAGAGGTCAGTGTTTGGAACGGAAGAAGAGGAAACGTAGCAAAAACAATAAGGAACTGGATTGGTGTGTGTTTTGAAAGATAATAAATAACTTAACCTTAACCTTAATTTGAATGATACTCTTTTTCCTATAAAAATACCTACATGTATTTATGTAATTTACTACAGCTATAGTTAACCCCTTTCACAGCTGACTTATGCTATAATCTATATAAATACAATACACAGATAACCCTTAGTAGGAACAGGTAAGGGTTAAAGTTCGGTAGATCGTTGACCCTTTTCCCATCTGGCACGATTTACCGCGGCCTCTACCTGCGACCAGATGTCTGCGACGGTGTTGTACGGCGGCCAGGCGCTGACCACCTTCCCGTTCACATCCACCAGATACTTCCAGAAGTTCCACGTGGGAGGGGCTTGGGTCGACTCTGTTGAAAGGAAAACAATTTTTCTTAAAGAGGTATTATACATGTTTAACATTTTTGAACCAAAATATTTCAATCGAAGTTGAATATTTCACTTGAACTCTTTGTGTGATTTTAATTTACATTGTACTTCCACTTTTTCAACATATCTGTGCAATTATTTTACATATCTGACATTCTGGTTGGCACTAAAAACAGCCCACAGGAGGTGCACTCAGTTTGTGGTGCCACCACAAAATCCTGATAAACAAACATGGCTGTGTTTCCAACTTTTAATCACACTCGTAGGGTATCATATTTTGGCAGCTTCACTTTCTCAATAGCATTTACAAAAATGTATTTGCAATGGAATAGGGTTGATTCAACTTAATTTGTAAAGAAATGACCAGAAAAATGACTTTTTGTGTCGTCCTAATATTACATATTGCTCCTTTAAGGAAAACAGTAAAACATTGAACATACATGTACGTGCTTACCTGCTAAGTACTTGTATGCAGGGTGAGCTTCTCTCCCTACAACATCTATTTTAGAAAACATGGGGAAGTTGGCCTTGTACATGGACTTGGCAAAATGGTCGATGGCGGCATTCCCCATAGGTTCCTGTCCCCCGAACTGATTACAGGGAAAGGCTAACACGGTAAAATGTTTGGTGGGAGCTAGGTGGCCTTGGAGCCGGACTAGCTCCTTGTAGTGAGAGTCGGTGTAGCCACACTCGCTCGCAACGTTGACAACTAAGGTGACCTGAAACAACAAACAAACAAGGTAATCAGAGATGGCAGACTTCACCCCCTTTCCCACACAGGCCTCAATGTACTAGAACTTTTTTTCTGCATGCCTGGAATGACTGCAGCAACTGCCGCAAGGATATCCCTTTGAACATAGCTAAAACTAGACACCTTGACTACAGCATTATTGGATTGGCCCCCATGCTGGACACCTTGACCAGCAGCATTAATGGATCGACCCCCAAAATTAGACACCTTGACTTTGTCTTTAGTGTACCACCCCCAAACTAGGTGATCCATTGATCATGTCATTAATGGACTGCCCTCAAAACTAGACCCCATCAACAGCATTAGTGGATTGCCCCCACCTAAAACCCATGACTACATGTACATTAAAAAGTGGGTTGCCCCCAAAACGAGACCCATTGTAGACTGTTGTAGTTGTACAGCATTAGTGAATCGCCCTCAAAACTAGACTTTGTACAATATTAGTGGATTGCCCCCAAAACTAGACCCTTTCCATATCAATATTGGATTGCCCCCAAAACTAGACCCACTTCAAAACACCATTAGTGGATTGTCCCTACAGCTAAACCAGGAAGCTAGACGGGAAGGCCGATATTTTCCCGGCTCTTTCTCTCCAAAATCTCACCTTTCCTCGGTACTTATCTAGCGGGACCGTGTTCCCCTTGATGTCCTTGACCTTGAAGGAGTAGAAGTCATCTTGAGAAAGGGCTGAAGACGCCAGAGAAAGTAAAAGTACCAGGAGAAAGTTTGCCTGTCCCGCTGCCATCCTGCGTGTCATCTCGCGGTGCATCCTGGGTGAAACGTGGCCGCCCAAGAAGAGAAACTTGACACTTTCTTCAAGGAGTTCCAGAAATAGATTCAAGACAATGTAAAGATGTATTGCTGTATTGAATGTTTACCATTAAACAGCAAGAAAATAGTATTTGGGGCGGGGCTACTTTAATATTTCAGGGTACTGGAATGACTTGATATTTTTCTGGCATAATAATTTTTCCATATTGTTAAATAAGGAGGTTGAATTTCTGTGATATAAACGAATAGCATTAAAGATAAATAAAACTTTATTACTTTTTGTCCTCAATCTTATTAAGGATGCAAAGTTGACATAAAATTGTCATAGAAAATTTGAAAAATAGATAATAAAAGTAGCTTCTTTTTTTCAAGTTCAACATGGTTTAGTTTGATTTATTTTCCACGCATATGCTAGAACAAACTTTTCATTCTTTTCTGAAACCATCGACCTAAGGGACTGACTACGCGTGTGATTTGTACAATTACAAAAAAGCTTTAAAATTCGAAAAAAAAACCAGAGAAAATAAAAAAAGAGAATAAAGCTGGCTTCTTACAACGATACCGTTCCATGTTTACTTTTTCTTTTAATTAGCTAAACGAACTTTTAAATTATTTTCTAAAAAAATAACCACCGGCCTAAAAGTCTGACCATCCACGTGTAATTTGCACAAAATGACGTAATGTTTGGTCACGTGACTAGGGGTCAAGCCAGGCCAGCTGATCACCAAGATGGCGGCGGCTCGCTGCAAATTTTTTTTATGAAAAACTTCGATTTAACACTAATTATTGCCTCTTCTGAGTACAAATCAGCACTAGAACGGGATACCGGAGGAATTGGAAAGGTAAGACAATGTTCTCCTGCAAGATTTAGGCAGTATAGGTGTAATAGTGGGAAGAAATTGCTAGTTTTGTCTGGGAATATTTGGAAACACTTCCACGTCGGCACCAGGATATTTTCACACGTTTTTGTTGCAAAGATGTGATCTGGAAAAAAATCGATATAATCTGCGACAGGTTGTTGTTGTTTTTGAAAACTAATGTATTTTCATTGCAGCCACTTAAATATGTAACGTTAAAAAGGTTGGCAATGTATTAGGCCATGGACTTGAGCAATTTAGATTTTACGTTGGTGTTTTTGATTGTTGTTTTGGGAGGGGGAGGGGGGCATATAATTTGGGAGTTGTCTGTTGTTTGGTCTCACCCACACTTTGTACAGGAAATTTATTTTTGGTGCACCTGTCCTCAAAATTCAGATACACAGACCTTTTTTTCGTACGCACAGCATAAGACAAGACAGCAAAACCAAATTATAAACCTTATTTTACCTCTGTAAACCTATAATTTTTCCCAAACATAAATAAAATTTTTCAAGGCCTGCTAGACAATTCCTGCCTTAATTTATTTGATGGCTGGTTCAAACCAGTTGTGGAGACTGTCCTCGTATGTGTAAATATAGCTATTGCAAAGCCTACACATGTAATTTTCTGTAATTTAAGACTGCAGACCTCACAATTAAGACACTTTAAACTAATGTAATGTATGTTGGTGTAAAGTACAATGTCTTCTGTTCATAGATACTTCAGGTAGGCTGTACCATTTTGTATAAGGAGATAGACAATATGTACGTTTATAAATGCGTATACAAAAAACAAAGTTGAATTTTAACATTTGCTCAAAATGTTTTGCTTTCTGTTACAAGCACAGTTTTTCTATAGGCAGTTGAAAAATGCCACCAAATCTTTAAAATGAAACAATATTTTTGGCATCTATAAATGCAATCAGCCACCATCTACCGTATTTACTCTAATACAAGATTTTTTGGCAACTCCTCAGGAGTGGAGCCACTGTTGTTCTCCTGCAGGTGCAGGTAAGACTGAACCATGTGGTCCCGACTGTCCAACCTCGCGCAGACTGTCACGGAGAAGTTAGATGAGGTGGCAACGGTGGAGGAAGGGAGTGAGGTAAATACGATCACACCAGGAATTTTTTTCACAGCATAGGTGTCAGGTACAGAAGGACAATGTTTCTTGGCACCAACTGCACATTGAGCCTCAAAGACATGACCACAATAGGAGGTCTGGTATCTCAGAAAAATGTTAAATTTCATCAAGACAAGATTCTACCCTATAAGAAAAACCCCAATGCTAGTTGAAAGACAGGGGGCAGAAGTACTGCACAGGGGGACCAAATCACAGCATAAGGGGCCCCTAACAGCCGACTATGTAGAACCCAGATAATACATGTTGGCTGCAGGAATTTGTAATTTGTACAATGTCAATTCTTTTCAAAATTCGTCCAAAATTACATGACTTTCAGTCCTTGATTTTAAAGAATTCAGTGTCTCAAATCTCCATATTTTTTTTACCTCAGTCAAGGGAGGTAGTGTTTTCTAGAGTGTGGACTGGTCATGGTGACTAAGAAATGACACAATTCCTCTTAGAAATCTGGTGTCATGTTGGTCTTGTCTTCCAAAGTTTCCTAATTGAATGCATTTCCTAATATCAAATGCATCAAATTTATTTATATTAATGCCAAGGTAGCTGCTTGGTACCTAATTTGTATTGGTTAGTGGTTTAAGGAACATGAAGTTCTAAGGTTACAATGTGTTGATATAAATGCGTGTATACTGATTTCAGGGTGGACAGTCTGCCCGGTCACCTTTGACCTCCCCGGACACGAGCGGCACGGGTGATGCCAGCTTCATGTCCGCCGCGGACGCCAGCTTCATGTCGGCGTCAGACATGGCGGACCAGTTCGAGGACCAGCGCAGACTCGTGGAGCAGCTGAAGGCCATGATCCGAGACAAGGACCAGGAGATTCGAGCCAAGGAGATGAAGTTCAAGGTTAAAACTCACTGTGAATTACGTTTACTGAAGGAAAATATATTGTTTTTGCTACGTTTCCTCTTCTTCTCCAAACCAAAAAGGTCAATGACCTGAACCAGACTGTCTGTTACCATGGTAACTAGTGTTGGATTACATCATGTTGCAATTTTATAGCAGGAGGGATTTAGACTCCTGTCTGACCTTTTACCGGGGTATATGAATGTGTTTTAGTAAGTATCAACAGAGCAGACCGTATACAAAGTTAAACTTAACATTGTTACCTTTCTAGTTCTAGTTACCTCCATGGAAAATGGAGGTTAGGTTTTATGTAGGATCTGTTTGTCTCTACCTTTTTGTTTGTCGGTTTTTGTCACCAAGATACTGTAATTCCTGATTTGTTCACTGTACTGATAAGTTCACTGTTTTCACTGTTGCTTCTGTACAGTGAACTTATCATTACAGTTAACAAATGATTCCTGGACTTTCTTTTTTCTGCACCTGTCACCACCGTGAACATATAGTTCCGTGAACATGTCCATTTTTCTCAGACCGTGAAATTTTGCTACCGTGAACATAAAGTGAATTACAGTACTAGTAACTCAATAAGAGCCGGATGGACTATTTTTTATATTTGGTGTGTTGGTAGATAATGACAAAACAGAAGTAGATTTTGGGCCCCCCTGGTGGCTTTATTAGGTACTGCAACAGAACTACAGGTTGTGATAATTTCCTGTGCCCAAGAAGGTTAACTTAAATGTTTAAGGTTTAACTCCTTGCTGTGCCTGATTTTAATGGTCTGTTATGTAGGTTCCATTCTCACAAACCATGTGCTGTCACCCAACTCACATTACAGACACACACACACAATATGCACCAAAAACAATACCTACAACTAAGAATCTTTCCATCTCTGTTTCAGTTGTTGTTATTTGATTACCAACATTTTCCCACACGTGTTTCCCTCAGGAAGAGAAGGAGACTCTGGATGCCAAGGTGTCCAAGTTGAAGCTCCAGGCCAAGGCCAAGATCACAGCCCTGACCTCACAGCTGGAGGAACTCAAGAAAGGTCACAGTTCAGAAGGGGGAGGAGAGAAGGTAAGAGATCTTACATGTTGCTGTACAGTAAAAATCATGATAAGAAGTTCTTGCAAGTTTCAGTTTCTACTTGGAGAAAGTTATAAGAGGACAGAAAATGTCTCTAAGGTGAAAGAAATTTAAGTAGACAGAAGTGAAGCATCCTTTTCCTTAATTTTTCTTTTTAGATTCTTATAGAATTCATATAGAATATATGCAAGCAGAAGTTAAAGAAAATGAGATGGACTTTCCTGGAACCTTTGACCTAACTTCCAGTGTCTGACCTTTTTACCTCTAACTAGCCAGTCTGTGGTTACAGCATTCCTCCCGCCCAAGTCCTGTAACTCTGCTGTACAGATACATAAGAAAACATACAAACACACTGAAACACACTATACATGTACCTTCATACAAAAAGATAAAACATAACCTGAAGTATTATGAAATAAAGACTGAACTTTAACTTCCAACACTAGATATAGAATTGGGACTTACCCCAATGACAATTAAAATGGCACGTATGACCCGCTACTACGGTCACGTGTCTTTGACGTTACGTTCCAAGAGTAGACGGGTCCATTCCGTGAACAAGGTTGATGGAGTCAACCGAAAATTTGGGGTAAGTCCCAATTCTATATCTAGTGTTGGAAGTTAAAGTTCAGTCTTTATTTAATAATGATTTGTACCAACACAGATGAACTTTCATGATAACCTGAAGTACCCTTTATATATATAAAGTAGTTTGGTACAGTCCTAAAATGAATTTTACAGGCAGCAGAAGAAAGCAGCGGAGAGAAGCAGTCCATCAACCGAGCACAGATGGTCGTCCTGAAGAAAAAACTGGAAGAAAAGACGACCCAGCTAGAGGAGAAACACAAACAGCTGGAAGGGAGGGAGAAAGAAATCCTACAACAGAAGGTACTAGTTCATTTTCAAACTGAATCTATTCAAATATTTTTTTTTCAATATATGTCTATGGATTTATCACGACTATGCATTTATGGATTTTTTAGGACTTCAGTCATGTAATCTGTATCCTTGTTTGATTGATCTTTCCCTCATGATCATCACGGAAAAGCAGTCAGCAGGCAATTTGAGTATTTCATGAATAAAGAAAGGCCCAAAACAAACAAACAAGCAAACAAACAAACAAACAAACAAACAAACAAACAAACAAAAAGTAAAGTCTAAGATCTTGTGGTACATCCCAAAAGATTGGAAAAATCAATTATTGTGATGAATATGAAAGAAGTAAGAAAGAAGTTGACAGTTGACAATGACATTTGACAATGACAACGACATTTGACAATGACATTTGGTGAAGGTGTGCAGAATTGTACACACATACACGTATCATTGTGTCACTGCTAACTGTGTACATGTAATATTTTTGCTTGCTAGGCTGAACATGAGGGTCAGAAAATGATCTTTGACACTCAAAAAGTTACATGTAAAATGTACTAAAGATAAGTCCACATGTTTTGATGATGTCAGAGTTGTACACACATATCACTGTGTCACTGCTAACTGTGCACATGTAATATTTGTTCCTCCCCAGGCTGAACTTGAAGCTCAGAAGAAGACCATCGACGCTAAAGAAGAAGTCATCGCACATTTCCAGAGCGGAGCGGCAAGAGCAGGGACTACAGAAGGGGGAGAGGGGGAAATACCTGAGGTAAAAAAAAGAAAACCTCAAATTACATTACAAAATAGTAACTGTATATTGTGAAACTTTTGCAGCTGTTTAATTTTTGCTGTGATCTTTAAATTGCAAACTGATGTTACTATAATTATAGAACTGAATTGTTTCAACTGCACATTTTAAACACTGCAAAAACAATGGTCTAATCTGCAAAGAACCCTGCATTTGGTATCAATTTTGTATTGGTTATGGAATTGGGCAACAAGGAAACGGTTTAAGTTTGCTTCTCTTTAAATAATAAAAATTAATACTAGTATTCTGGGCTTGCACAAAAGCATGGACTTAAGGACTGAAACTAAATTCTATAGATGCTGCTAGAAGTGTAATACCCTTGTAATGTTACAGTCCTACAAAATGGTGGCTTGCTCCTTTGCTCCTAACCCTGAGGCAAATGCATCCTTGCACTAACGCCCCCTTGCAGGAGTCTGCTAAACTGAAGGAAATGTATGCTCAGATGGTGTACAAGGACAGGCTGGTGATGGAGCTAAACAACAAGATCCTGGAGCATGAAAAATCTGCACTCGACCTTCAGGAGCACGTCAAGGAGAAAGAGGAGGTCATTCAAGGTCGTAATAAAGCCATACAGGTCTGTCTCTCTATTGGCTTTTCTGTAACTTGTCAGCATCTTTCTGTGACTGCTTCAGGCATATTGGTTTAACAGCATTATTTTATGTTCAACTAACAATTTTAAAATAAACAAGTTCTTTTTTTTTCAGAATTTGTGTACATGTAATTTCAAAATGCCAATCAAAAATGTACAAATAATTGTGTTAGCATAAGTGTGTGTATTGTTTTTGTTTGTTGTTTGTTGTTTGTTTGTGCCAAAATTAGTAATTCGTGAACTGATGTTGTGGTAACTGATGCTATATAGAATAAGCTTGAAAACTGTGGAATTTTTTTCTTATTTTTGTTGTTGTTTTTCCGTCTCAAACCACAGTTGTTGCAACAGCAGATGGCAGAGAAGGATCAGACCATTACGGACCAGGGGGTGTTGGTAGAAAAGCTGACCAAGAAAGTGGAAGACATCGAGGAGCGAAACGGTGTCCTGGTGGAACAGCTGAGAGAGAAGGAGGCGCAACTCAACACCGAGATCGAGAGCTTCCAAACGCTACTGACAGAAACACGGCAACGTTACGAGGAGAGATTACAAGAGCGGGAGCAAGAAGCAAACGTAAGTTTCAACTCTTTCAGTTTCACTTACTGTCTGTAATTACTGTGTGTGCAGAAGTATTGTTTTGGGTGGCTGACTTGGGTGAGTTTGTGTGTTACCAGTTCTAAGTACTGATGGTTGCATGGAGGGTGGGTGGCGATTTTGACAGTTGATTGATAGGAAGGTCAAGGTTGAAGGTGACCCAGCACATGGGTAGGAGTAATTGGGCGGCACCTGGAGGAATTCAGGAAGTTGTGTAACACCCAATTTGATTACACCATACAATTCCTGACAGTAGTAGTAGTAACCAATACAAATCCCTCCACAGTTTTACATTTCCAAAACCCCAAAGCACTTCCCATAGATCTGTGATCTTTAAGGTCATGAACCCCCCCCCCCAAAAAAAAAAACTCCTGGAAGTCTGAAATCTTTGATTTCTGTTTTTTCAGGAAATGCAGAGTAAAATGCAGGAGTTACGTCAGGAGCTAGCAAAGGGAGACCAGGCCGACGTTCTACAGAAGATCTCCCGGGAGTTGGCTGAGAAGGAAGAGATCCTGACCGGGAAGACAAAAGTGATCGAGGTCCTGCAGGCTGAGATGGGGGAGAAGGAGAGGAGGATTCTGGAACAGGGCTCCAAGATGCAGTCCCTGGAACAACAGGTAGGGGGTGCTGGGAACATATGAGATGATGACATGCAGCAAAGTAGATCTTACCAGTATCTCTGTCTTGGTGTTTAATATTTCAGAATCATAACTTTCGTTGCCCTAAACTGCTTCATATTTGAATATGTATGAAAAGTGTGTTTCCATTTTTTTATTGAAATACAGTTTGCAAATTATTATTGGATTATTATTTAAATTATTATGATTATTTTTAAAAAATACAGATTGTTTCCTGGGAGCAGCAGTATCAACAGGTACAGTCTACCTGGACAGATCGTCATCAACAGGTAAGTTATAAGATTAATGGGTTATCTCACTGATTGGGTAACTTATTAATATTTATTATTTGTTATTGTATATATATAGTGTGTGTGATATGATATGGGCAAATTTGAGAACCAAGAAGTTCAATTGGTGTCACTTAAGTTTAATATAAACTGTTGTTTAATGTACATACTTTCTTGACATCACTGTGTATCTATTTTCTTAGGTTGTCACTCAAGCAACAGAGAACCAAGAAACGCTACAAACAGCGCTAGCGGAGAAAACCCAGGCCCTGGAACAACTCCACGGGCAGATGGCGGAACTACGCTCCTCCTGCGAAGAGGTCATCAACCAAAACAAGGCGCTGCAGGATGAACGAGTCAAACTCCAGGAGGAGGTAGCGAGGATCCAGTTTGAACGGGAAGAGCGCGAGAAAGACATCATCACGGAGAACGAACAGCAACAAAACTCCATCGAGAAGTTGCAAGGTATGATGGGTAATGTTTGCATGTTTGTAGAGACTTCAGTTCATCAGAAAATAGAAATTATATGGATTGTTGTTAGATTAAATCATGATGCTGAAATCTGATTGGCTGATACACACAAAGTTATGATTGATTGACATTATTTTGAGCTATAAAAAACAGACAGATTGGTTGATGATTGTATTGTTAGTTGAAGTCAAAGAGAAACAAGCATTTTTTGTTATTATTTCATACTTGAAGTGATTGAAATAACCCCAAAACAAGCTATGTGAGGCATATTTTTGGGGTACCACCCATAGATTGCTAGAACCAACCTATGACACAAAACAAGCAACTGTCAGTGACTTCTGTCAGTGACTTCTTTAAAAGAATGACAAAAAATTGACTTAAAAAATCCAGTTTTGCTGCTCTGAAATTTGGATACCTTTGATGCTGTTTATTGCTTGTGGCATGCAATTCAATAAACAAACAAATGAATAAAGATTGCTAATAAGATGATGACTTGAATTCATGTTCTACAGCTGAACTTCAGGAAAGACAACAGCACATTAACGACATGGCCACCAAGGCAGAGAACAAGTTCCTGAAACTGAAGGCTCAGGCCAAGTCTAAAATCACTGCACTGGAGGAGCAGGTCAAACAACTCAGACAGGTAACAAATCAAATGTTATTGTGTATTATGTAACATGTTTATTGGTGTTCTAGCCAGCATCTATTTTTTCATCATTTCGTCATTTGACAGAATTTTGCCGCTCACGACAGACAAAAATGTTGGACAATTCTTAATCTTTGACAGGCTAAAATCAGCATGGAAAGATATGGAAAGATTTTGTCCCTCAAAATATAGAAAATGCTGTTTTCAGAAGATTTCAAGAATTTCCCAAATCTGGACCCCCTCAGCGCTTGACATGATCTTATGTCAAAATTGAGATGAGGAAAAAAATATTCAGACTGGCTAGAATAATTGTATCATGCATGTGGCATTGTGTGGATAAATATGGTTAGAGTGTTTGACTGGGTTTGAATCCCTGGTATGACAGTGTGCAAAATACTTTTTTTGAACCAGGTTGCCCACTTACCTACGGCAAAAATTAGGTTGCCTATCAGAATTTTAGGTTGCCCCAACTATATATAGTATAAGTTACTACTCTCCTCAAATTAAGTAATGTTACATACATAAGCCTTTGACTATATTTCTATCAGCCTTTAGTTAACTGATACTAGTAATAGCCATTAATACCTAGAATTAAAAAGCATCTGCCAGATACAGTGGTGCAAGCCAAGTGGGCATGATTTGGGAAGGAGGGGGGCATTCTTAAAATTCAGGTAGCACACTGGGCTACCTAGGTTCAAAAATAGGTTGCCCCAAGTAAAATTTGGTTGCCCAGTTGCCCTGGGCAACCAGGTATTTTGCACGCTGTATGACCTTTGTTGTGTCCTTTGGCAAGTATTTCCTGTCTCTTTTCTTCAGTCGGATACGCTTGCCGATGAGGTGGCGACCCTACGTAACCGTCTAGCGGAGTTGGAGGAAGAGAAAGGTAACCTACAGATGCAGTTAGTGGATTATGAGGACGCAAAGACTCAGCAAGGTAGATTCGCCGGGTCTACAGCCCAAACCTTTCGCTTGCCTTCTCCTTCATTTTGTGTGACTGTCTGTGTGTGCAAGGTTCTGATATCATGTTGGATGTACATACTGTGCCTGCATATAACCGGGAACGTACTTTACAGAACATATTTAAAGTCATGTTCGTGTATCTAAGGATGATGTCCAGTCTGTTAAAAGTTTTCAAATATTGGGTAAGAAAAAATTATTCAACAGGTAAAATTCTAAATCAGATGCAATGTTTACCAACAATGCAAAAAGAAACCACAGGTGCAGTATGTTCTGCCAACATGCCAGTTCTAGGTAGTGTATTTTATTATTGTACTGAGCTACATACAACATATATTAAAGAGTTAGACATGACAACAGTGCACAGCTAGCAATACTGGTCGCTCAGAAGATAACAGAACAACTTGGTGTCATTTCTGGGGCTCTGAAAAGATTTTTTTGTTTTCTTTTTAATATCCCTGGAAGTATTCTTTGTCCTTTCCTGTAGTGTTTTCCCAGTGCTTCTCTTTTCTATGCTGTCTTTTTAGAGCTTTGTAGTACACTAGATCCTATAGAAGTGCAAAGTGTTGGCTTCTAGTTTGTTGTAAGAATTGGAACAATTCTTTTTCAAGTTTCAGAGTCACCTATCATCTAAATGCATTGTAATCTCCTGTATTGTACTATTTCGCTACTAAGAGTGTATTACACTATTTTTTTCGTTTTCAGCTTCCCTCGAAGCAAAGGTTAAAGAACTTGAAGAAGGATCCCAAACTTTGGAGGATAAAACACAGGAGATGGAACAAGCTAAGCAGAAAGCTGAGTCAGAAATGGTAAGGATGTATCCATGATCAGTGTGGTCTTGTGGTTAGGGTTGTTGACTGAGAATCTAAAGGTTCTGGGTTCGAATCCCTAGCAGGCCCCAATCTTATAAGATGGAGCTACTCCTTGCCACTTGGTTGCATCAAAGAAAACACAAGTATCTTATGAGCAGAAACTTGATGTCCACGTTTTTAATGATTGTGTTTTTTCAGGTGACCTTGAACGAGAGTATGGCCGCCATGACTGAGACCATCCACTCGCTACAGAACATGCTCAGTGAGACAGAACAAGCCAAGGTCAAGGCTGAGGAGGAGCGAGTCGCCATGGAGCTGAGGATGGTCCAGGTGGAGGAGGAGAAGGATGGTAAGCCTGCAGTTTTGATAAATTCTGCCAGGTGGCATCACTGAGTGATTTTTCATAGCTTTATGACTGCTGTTGCCTTGACAAATGTTTTTTTTCAGTATTTACATGAATGTTATAATGAATCTTAATAGGAAGTGAAGTAACTGCACTTTTGATAGCTACTGCTGGGGGTCATTGCTGACTTGTGTGTTAGGTGGCACTTTTGACTTTTGTATGTTGTTGTTCTGACTAGTGTTCTGTCAGCATGTACAGACCTTATAGATATGGAAGATTATGCACTTTTAATAGCCACTGCTAGGGATCATTGCTGACTTATTTCCACAAATATTGTACTTCCTGATTTCGCAGTTTTTGCAGTCACTCCTGTACCGCAAACTTATTATATCATGAACAGATAATTTGCCGACTTTCTTTTTTCTGCACCTGCAAAAATATAGTTCAGGAACATGCTCATTTTTCTCAGACCGCAAACTTTACTACCACAAATATATAGTGAATTACGAACAGTAAATGAGAGTGTGAGATTATAGCAATGGTCCTCCTTATTTTTCTGAGGAAATTTTGTCTCTTTCTTGCCATAGTTCTTGAGAAATCTCAGCACGACTTGAAGGAGCAAGTATCCAGTCTACAGGCCATGTCAGCGACAGAGGCAGCCGAGGCACAGGCCGCACACATCAGGGAACTGGAGGACGCTCTGGCCAACGCACAACAGCATTGGCAGGCAGCAGGTACATGTACAGCTGCAGTTTGAACAGATTCTGCTAGATGGCACCACTGAGTTGCATGTGACATTTGTTTTTCCCTTTATCATTGACTTTTGAATTCACTAATATATTAAAATCTTACAAACTTTACCTGTATTTTAGTTTCATAGAGAATAGACAGGCAGGCAGCAGGTACATCTGCAGTTTGAACAGATTCTGCTAGATGGCACCACTGACTTGCATAGCATTGGTTGAACCATTCCTATTGAATTGACATCATAAACTTACAAAATTATGTATTCTAACTTTACAGAGAATCGACTACACGAACTTCAGAATGGTAACGGGAACGGACTGCTGGCCAGCACTGCAGGCGGTCTGTTTGAGAGCATGGCTCCGCAACAAGGTAGATTTCCAACATTATATTTTTTGGGTGATTCAGAAGTGATTACTTTGTATAGGTTTGACTGTTTTTAAAACACAAAACTTTGGGGTGTGGAAGTATTATTTTGAATGACTCCTTTTTGGTTTACATGTATGTGTATCAGTAGGTTGACAGCATGTGGGTGGGGAAGATTGACAGGCAGCATGAATTTACAATGTAGGTTCACGGCCCCAAAATTCAGGAAGAAAGGAAGAATTAAGGAAGTGAAGGATTGTACACTTCCCAGAAGTCTAAAATCTCTGATTTCTTGTTTTAAAGATGTTACAAGTCAAGTAGAGATGCTTCAGTCTGAACGCAGCAACCTTAAAGAAACCGTCCAACAACTTGTGGAAGAGAAGGAGTCTCTGGAGCACAGACTACAGGAGGCAGAAGACAGGCTGGCCCAACTGACAACTGTCCAGGCTGAGCGAGATGACCTCTTGCAGAAACACGAGGAACTGCAGCAGACGTCAGCAGCCTTACAGCAACAGGTGGAAGCTTTGAAGCCTGCTTCTGAAGGGGTAAGGTTTTCCTTTGTACTGTTTGTTTGTTTTGTATATCTAGTAAACCACGTTTAGACTTAACACACCAGTTTTGTACAGTAAGTACAAGCTGTGTTAGACTGGACTGTAAGGTTTGAACCACTCATACCTTGATCTTCTCAATAAGAGTGGTAGGATCTTTAACATGCTTGAGGTGTGGCTTTTCTCAAACATGGGACCTTCCTAACTGAAGCTAGGTACTAAATTTCACCTGGGTTGAGTGAGAAAATAAAATGTAAAGGGCAAAACATTCATCTGCTAGGGATTTGAACCCAGAACCTTCAGATTCTAAGTCAACCCTAACCATTATCTACTACTCTAACCACAAAACCACCTTTTCTAGTAAAATAGAAAATGGTTTGTAAGTTTTAAATAATGTCATCACAAGTCAGTGTTTTTCTTTGAAACTTTGTTGTACAGAAGACTGTAGGTGAACTGGAAGAAGAACTGACCACTGTTAAACAGCAGCTTCAGGAACTACAGGAGAAACAACAGCTGGAACAAACACAGCATCAGGTTTGTGCACTCAGATTCAACAGATTGTACACTCAGCAGTTTATCAATCTTTAACCCTAATTGTTGCACCATGGGTTTACGAAGACCAAATTCAGGTTTAGATACAGACTACTTGCCTTATTTGAAAGAATGTTTTTTGACTATGATTTGGTGCTATTTTCTTCATCATATGTTACAAGGTGATACCATACAATATAACCTTTCTAAAGTTACTGCAGAAAACAGTTACTCAAGCAACTGCATAGATTTTGAAAACTGTCAGACATTTCAGGTAGCATCCATTAATTTTCGTTCGTCACTGGCAGTTCTCAAAATCTATTCAGTTGCTTGAGTAACTGTTTTCTTGAGTATCTCATTATCTAGATGTATAACCTTTATCGAACTTTCTATACTGTTACTCAAAGAAAACTCAAAGGCACTCAATGGCACAGTACTTCATGTATAGCCTAGTCAGTGGGAAAAATTGTGGTCCACATATTAGGATGGCAACCAGTCAAAAGCAGCTACATTTTGTATAATGGCCGGATGGTCCTTTATTACGTAGAGGTGGTCACTGGTACAGGTTTGACTGAATTGTTGTCATGGCTGTTCCAGGAACAGGTCACCACCCTGACAGAACAGCTGCAGTCTGCCATGATCCAGTCAAGTTCATTGCAGGAGCAACTGACTGCAAGGGAGGGGGAACTCCAGGAAATGGCACAGCAGCTCAACCAGAAACAACAGGTTAGGAGTTATTTTCAAAATAACATTTTGGATGTAAACATAAAAACCAAAGAGTTAACTTGAGTTTGGAGACTACATATTTCTTTCATCTTATTAGGAGACTGCCATCAAAAGCTTAATGAAAATTAAGTGAAAATTAAGAAATGAATCTTTTCATAAGGTTTCCAAAATTGTACACAGTAACTCTATAGTAATTATAGCCGAAAACGTTTCTAAACTTCTTGCAAGACCTACATTTGTACCAACAGAAAATTTAAAAAATCACCATAAGAATAAAAACACTGCAAACTTTCAAGACTTGAAGTATGTCTAACCATTGCCAGACAGGTACAGTACAAGTGATACAACAAAAAGTGAGAATTACAGAAATTATACTTGTTGTGTGACCTTTTTCTTGCCCATGTTGTTTTAGGAGGTTAAGTCTTTCTGTGACAAGTTTGCTTCAAAAGAAACAGAGACAGCAGAACTACAGGTCCAACTGAGAGACAGAGAAGAAAAACTCAGCTCCCTTACTGAGCATGTGCAGTCACTGGAACACAAGGTCCAACAGGACATCGAGGTAAACATCAAGTTGTTGACAAAAGAATTATCAAAAGGAAGATATTTTATACCCAGTTTAGCCTTGAAAAGGAATGCGCTGAGCTAGACTTTAGAAAATAAATTGTGCATTGTTTCTAGAGATTCAAAGAGAGTAGTTTTGCAAAGTGTACAATGTACATGTACAATACAACATGGCATGCTCCAACTTAAAATTTGATAAACTTTTCACTCATTTTTGTGCTGCAAACCATTTTATTCCCTTCATGTGTTCTGCCTGTACTTGTTCTGTGTTGTCTGTATTTTTTTGGTCTGTTTTCCATCTTGTTTTGTTAGTTGACGTTTTGTCCCCGTGCAAAGCCATTCATAGTCCCAAGGCGTGTTTGGAGATTAAAGAAAAGAAAGTCATTCCGTTCATATCTCCAATTCTGACTGTGCATCACAATTAATAGTTCAACCAATGACAACATGGCAAGTAGCAGTTCGACCAATGAAAGAGCGGCTACATGTCTGTGAAATTTATTTATGTTTTTATTTTGCATTTCTACAAAATTTAGACGGAGGTAGGTGGGGCTCTAGGATCAATCACTTAGGGACCACCAAAAAGTGGCCACAATGTCTTTATGCAGAGGTGGTCACTAGTACTGCTTTGCCATTGGTTGAATTAAACATGTTGCCATGGCAATCCCCACACACTGCCTGCTGGGATTATGATTGACAGCTCCATTGCACAACTGTCTGTCTGTCCCCCTCTGTGTTCATCAGAGCATTCAAAAGGCCCTGCAACGGACCAATCAGAAAGCAGCTACCATCACGGCTACCGATGATAACATAGAGGCCGCGATCAAACAAATGGAGGAACAAATTATCGTAGACCTAGAACGGTCGCAGGGCGAACTGAGCATAGTTCAGCAGGATTTGAGACAGAAGGCGTCGGTAAGAGTTAGGATACCGGGCTACAATGTACCTTACAGCATGGCAACTCACAAAACACCATCGCTTTCAAGTTTATTAATTAACAAAATAATTAAGTGGAAAGAGTTGTAGCTTTTTCTCAATTTACTGTAACAGTCACTTTATGTTTGCAGTAGCAAATGGTCGTGAGAAATGAGAAATATGGTCTGAGAAATATGGACATGTTAAGGGAACTATATATGTATTCACAATGGTGAGAAAAGAAAGTTGGTGAATTATTTGTTCACAGTAATGATAAGTTTGCGGTCACCGCAAAAACCATGGACATAAATGTGCTACAAAAAAAAGCAGGACTTACAGTATGCCAAAGGTTTTCAGTCGTGCATTCCAGTAAGCAAGATTTTATTTCTCAATCTGCTAACACACATTTGATATTAACAAAAATAGTCATGCAAGCTACCAATGCAACCATACAGTTTACACGTTGACATAGAATCTGATACAGAGATGCAAAGTGCAAGATAAAAAAAATGATTATGCTGTATTTTCAGATAACTTATCAGTAAAGGTCACAATTACAGGTCAAAGGTCGTGAAAAGCCTGATGACCCCCTTGACAGCAAAAGGTCAAAACTCTAACAATAGACAGGTGTTAGGGACAGAATAAATCATTATTAATTCATAATTCTCACCATATCATATTGTGTTGAATTAGTCCCCGGTGCCCTTTTTGTTGTCTTTCTGTATATGGTGATTTCGTTGTGATTTTGTTTGACATTTTGACCTGTTTTTGGAGGGAGACACATTTTGGAAAAGGACTAGCAAACATGGCTGAAGGAAAGAGAAGGGACCGCAGAGGGCAGTTAGGATCTGCCCTCATTCCAATAAGAATGGTATAGAATGGTACATTTTTGTACCCACATGTAACATCCGTGTCCATAATATCACCAGGGTCCATAATATCGCCACCTTGTCCTTGAGAAATAGTGTGCTTTAAGATATTTTTACTGCAACATACATTTGGTATGCACTCCTGCACACCTCAAATGTACATACCTAGGGTATGCTGCCGTAAAAATATCTTAAAGCACACTATTTCTCAAGGACAAGGTGGCGATATTATGGACCCTGGTGATATTATGGACACGGATGTTTGTACTTACTGGAGGACAGTCCTATGTTCTAACACCTCTATGTTCTGATGCACCTATGTTCTAGCCTGCAAATCTCCATTGTCCTTGCTGCTATATGGCTACCTCTATGTTCCGATGCTTCTATGTTCTAACATACCGGTAGTGTTAGGGTTGTCAGAACATAGGTTGAGTTGACGGAACATAGGGGTATTGTAACATTGGGGTGTACTAACTATTTTATATTCTGCAGAAAGTACTTTATAATGTCTGGAGCTTGAAATGAAAGTAGCTGTTAGTAACAGCATTTGTTTGTTTATTTGTTTATTATCAGGAGGCAAACATTCTCAAGCAACAACTGAACCTGAGGGAGGAGACCATACAAGAAATGAGGTACATTTTATTATGATTATCTTACCTCTTATTACATGTATTTTATTACATCATTCAATATATCGAGGTTTTGTTTTTAATGTGTCTGTTTGTATGCTTGCTTGTGCTTCTGTTGGTATTTCAACATGCTAGGCATGTTGGGGATGTTGACAGGAAGTTAGGTCCAAGGTCCTAGAAAAGATTATTTCATTTTCTGTCTTCAATTTCCTCCTATATGCTTGGGAACCAGTAGGAAAATGCCCACTAGACAGAACCAGCAAGAAATTTACTATAATGTATAAAACATTGTCAAGAAATTCATGATGTACGTTGTATTTACAGAGCGGTCATTGGTCAGAAGGATGCAGAGCTGCAGAAGCAGAGACATGACCTGTCGGAGGTCCAGAACTCCCTGACCAGTGCACAGAGGGAGATAGAGGTTCTCAGAGAGGGGCAGACTTCAGAAGGTAAGGATGCAAACTAAAAAGGATCTTGAACCAGTTAAGCTCGCTGAAGTGAGTGAGTGAGTGTGAGTGAAGCGAATACTCTAACTTCCAATGATCCAGACAGAGAAGACAGACAGTATGACTGTACAGTATTTGCTGGTTCATTGTACCAGGAAAATTCCCCTTGCTTTTTTTTTAATAATTACACTTAACAGTGGCTTATTTGGTTGACCTTAAAAAAAAAACATTACACTGCTAGGAATTAATATACAAAAATGTAATAATTTTTTTTCTTTGAGATGCAATATGGTATGATATCAAAATATATGACTCTGCAAGTACATGCCAAAAATCATGAATATCTGTTGTTCCTTTCTTGACTTAGCTGCTTTGAAACAGTTTGCCAGAAAGCAGTGCTAGAGGGAGCAAACCATATTAGTTTTAGAAACGTCCATGTGGATTTTTGAGAATTTCTTAGAGAAGTCAGAAACCAAGTCTTCAATGCAGAACTTACATACATTTGAAGATGATGACCTAACCTTTGACCTTTCACCTCTGACAGGTCAGAAGATGGAGGCTCAGTTGACCTCTCTGCTGACCCAGCTGCGTGAGCGTGACCAGGAGGTGTCACGCCTGCAGGAGGAGGTTCTACAGAAGGGTAACGACAACATCTCACTCCAGGCACAGTACAGCGATATCAGTCTGCAACTGGAGGCCAGCAGCACTACTCTCAATGAGGTATGTCAACTTCTTTTCTACATACATTCTTACCTATAAGACCTTCAAGAAATAGCCATGCCTTCAAGTACCAGAGTTGTCAACCAAGGATTGAGGTGTTCAAGAATTCATTCTTTCCTAGAACTATCGCAGAGTGGAACTCACTGTCACCAAGTACAGTAGGGGCATTGTCAATATATAGCTTTAAACAATGTCTAGAGTTAGAAGTTCAAGGGTTAGGTGTAACAAGCCGATTGGTGTAATATAGCCAGCTGCCGCTGCGCCGCGTGCCCGCGAAGCTGGTGTGTTACGCCGAAAGGCAGTTATACCGGCTATACAGATACAGATACTGTACAGAATAGGGGTGGATACCTGTATAGAAAATTCAGGTCCAGGTCCGGATCAGGTTCAGAGGATCAGGTCCAGAGGATCAGGTTCAGGTTCGGACCTAAACCTGGACATGATTATTGTACAGTAGTACTACATGTATATAATATCATTATATATATACTGTCATATAGAATGCCGATGATACTTCAAAATTTGGAGCCAAAATTTCTGAGTATATGGAAACATGCCTTGACGATATCCACTTTATCGCTTGGACTAACCTCATGGTCTGCAACCTTTTTTTTGTCTTGGAAGCTGAACACATTTACAGAAAGAGAGAAACATGGATTTAGGTTCATCTAGTCTGATTCAGGGTTATTTTCTTTACCTGCCATGGCCAGATTACCTAAAAATGTATGTACAATCTACGGAAATGTACATCAGGTCCAATGACTAAGGTTTGCCTCATATCTACAATGTATTATGTACATTTTAGGCAAAGAAGACTCTTGCACAGAGAAATGACATCATAGAAGAGAAGGACTCCAAAATGGCGAACCTTGAGTCCCAGATCTCCCAGCTGACCTCCACGCTGGAAGTGCGAACCACGGAAAGCGAGATGCTGCTGGCTAAGCTGACGGAGCACGAGGAACGGGGAAGGGCGCTGGAGGTTCAGACCAATGAACTGAGGTTTGTTATCTCAAATGTGGCAATATGTGTGGGGTCGTGTGGCGTAGCGGCAGAGTGCACGACTCGGAACCTAGAGGTCCCGGGTTTGAGTCCTGACATGCCACCGATCTTGTGCCCTTGGGAAAGGCATTTTACACCACTTTCCTCACTTCGCTCAGGTGAAAATGAGTATTGTATTGTCCCCTTTGTTGGTGGCGGCATTAATATAAGTTTGAAAAACTTGAGTATGCCGTCACCACTTCTTGTGATTACATGTTGGAAATTTTTTTTTTTTTAAATGTGGCAATACGTATTAATTTCTGCCATCTTGGATTTTTTTTAAAATTGCAAATTGGAATATCAACATGAAAAGGAAGTATGTGAGAAAGATCAGAGAGTGAAATGCAGTGACCGTCTGATTTATTGATAAGTTTTACTCTTGTCCTCTTCTACTTTTAAAATGTTTGAAAATGATACCGTGTGACTATTGTATGAAATTAAGATACACATTTTACAATGTACCACAATTGTATCAAGCTATTAGATAACATTGATTCTCTTAAAAGATGCTTTAAGCAGTTTAAGTTGAAACTTAAAGCAGTTAACCATAGAAATTTCTGAATGGAATTTTTCATATGAAGGACATAACCAGCAAGGACGAAGTACTATCAGGCAACTGTTCAAATGTACATTGTAAGTATACTACATACTACAAGTTTTAAAAGTGTATCTAATTGTATTGTTCTTGATATAGGACGCAAGTTGCTTCAAAAGATGAGGAAATGGAAGACCGGACGGCCAAGTTGAAGCGGCTACAGATTCAGCTGGAAGAGGAAGGTGAACAAGTCTCCACTCTTCACACACTCATCAACAAGCTCAAGACTCAACTCGCCAGCAAAGACGAAGAGATCAAAGAAAAGACCGCCTCCGTGGAAAACCTTCATGAGAAGGTCGCCAGAGAGGAACAGAGGGTCTTCGACATGTCCTCCGACTTTGCACACATGCAGGAGCTCATGGCCGAGAAGGACAACCACGTCATATCACTTCAGAACCAGGTGGAAAAACTCACCAGCGAGCTGAGAAGCAAGGAGGTGTTTGGAGAAGAAAAATGCCAAGAGGTTGAAGAACTCGGGAAAGAAGTAACCACGCTCCAGAGCTTCATCGAGGGTCTTAAAAATGAGAACCAAACCCTACAAGAGCTGAAGTCAAACGTGGTAGAACTAGAAACACAGGTCAGCAAGTGGAAGATGGAGACCAAAACTTTACAAGGAGAACTTGAAACGAAAGAGCAGAGCTTCCAAGAAAAGGTGACAACAGAGGAAGGGCTAGAAAAGAAAGTAACCTCGCTGCAGGAAGAAATAGATGCCCTCAAGACAGAACTGCGTGCAAGAGACGAAACTGTTCAAGAAAGGAATTCCATGATTACCGACCTGTCAAATGAAGTGGCTAAACTGCAGCAGCAAATGGAGTCTTTGAATACGGAAATACAAGCAAGAGACCAGAGCATGGAAGAAAAGGGATCCGCAATACAAGACATGGAAAGTCATGTCAACAACTTGAGTGGACAGATAGAGTCCTTGAAGGAGGAACTGAAAGACAGAGAACAAAGGATTCAAGAAAAGACTTCGATCTCTGAGGAGCTAGAAGTTAGAGTTGGATCACTGCAGAAGGAGTTAGAGTCACAAAGCACCGAGATGCAGAATTGGGAGCAAAACGTCAAAGAAAAAGAAGCTGCTGTTGTAGAGATGCAACATCAGCTGCAGGAAAAGACTGGATTGCTAGAGGAAGCTCAAGCACAGTTGCAGAACATGGCTGCAGAATTGCAGCAGCGGACCGGTGCAATGGAGGAGTCACATCAACAAGTGCAAAATGTGACTGTTGAGCTGCAACAAGAAAGAACTGCAGTACAAGAATTGCAGCAACAGATGCAGAACATCACTTCTGAGCTGCAGCAAGAAAGATCCGCTGCACAAGAATGGCAGCAACAAGTACAAAACATCACTGTCGAGCTGCAGCAAGAAAGAACAGTTGCAGAGGAATTGCGACAAGAAGTGCAGAACTTCACCGGCAAATTGGAGCAACAGACCTTCGAGTCACAAGCATTGCAGCAGCAACTGCAAAACGCGACTGCAGAATTGCAGCAGCAGCAAGCTGCATCTGCAGAATTGCACCAACAAATGCAGAACTTAACAGCAGAATTGCAGCATCGCGAGTCCACACTCAAAGACAGAGACACAGAACTACAAGACAAGCAGTCAACTCTCAAAGAACTGCAAACCAGACTACAGAAACTTGAAACAGAACTACAAGAAAGAGAAACCACCTTACAAGAGAAAGACTCAAGCCTTGCAAGACTACAAGAGGAATCAAACATTCTTAAAGAGGGACTGCAAACCCAGCTACAGAGCTTAAGCTCAGAGTTACAAGAACGTGAAAACACTCTAAGAGAAAAGGACTCCAACCTTCTGAAGGTGCAAGAAGAGCTAAGTATGCTCAAAGAAGGGATAGCTTCAAACGAGATCCTGGAAGCCCAACTAAATAGAACACACGCAGAGTTGAACGAAAGGATGCAAGCACTTAGCGACAAGGAAAGGGCTGTACAAGAACTTACAGCTCGAGTTAACACACTGGATGAAGAATTAGAACTGAAGTCAAAGCTTGTACAGGAAACAGAATCCTTGTTGCAAAGTTCTAAGGAAGAGATCAGCCATGTCAGCACTCTGCTAGCTGAAAGAGAAAGAGATAGTCAGGAAAAAGAGAAGTTGTTGCAAGAACTGGGTGAAAAAGTTGACAACCTTGGAAAAGAGCTGGCAACAAAGGAGAATATTGTAGAAGAGAAAGAAAATCTGGTACAAGACTTGCAGGTGAAACTGGACAAGCTGTCCTCAGAGTTGTCAGCAAAACTTCAAGTCATTGAAGAAAAGGAAGCTATGGTTGAAGAGTTGAATAGTCAGGTGAGTACGCTTGGTGCAGACTTAGCCAGCAAGGATCAAGTTATAGAAGAGAAGGATTCACTAGCACAACAACTGTCTTCCCAACTGAGCACTGTTTCATCTGAAATCTCAACGATGAAACAATCTGTTGAAGAAAAAGAGATGCTGGCACAAGAGTTGAACTCTCAGTTGAACCATCTTGCATCAGAACTGTCCGTGCGAAACCAGGAGGTTGAAGAAAAGGAAAGTCTTCTTCAACAGATGACGGCACAGGTTAGTCAGGTGACAGCCCAGCTTTCATCACGTGACCAGGAAACTGGTACGTTGGTCCAAGAGTTGCACTCGCAAGTCAACGCATTGACTTCTGAGCTTTCCGTGAAAACCAGAGAACTGGAAGAAAAGTCTGCCGTGTTCGATGAGTTCAAGGTTAAGATGGATGCCGTCACTAGCGAGTTAAACGGCAAAGATGCGAAGCTTGTTGAGTTGTCGGCACACTTGGAGCACAAGAATGTGGAGTTGGGAGCTCTTCAGATGAACGCGGGCGAACTTCAAAGCCAACTCTACGTTGCCACTCAAGAACTGAACGAGAGGAACACAGAAGTTTCACACATGAAGACTGTTTTGGAGCAAAAGGAAGTTGAGCTTGGGAGTGCGTTACAGAATCTTGAGAGGACAAAGGAAGACTTCCAGAACACAAGACAGGGATATGGTGAACAGGAGAATCAAGTGACAATGTTGAGGGAAGAGCTAGAGAAGAAGCAACAATTCTTGACAGATATGGAAGAGAGGTGTCACAGTCTTGAAAAGGAACTGAACACCTCTAAAGAAGAGATGGTAAAAGCACAAGAGGAACACGGGAAAGTGCAAGAAAGAGCCGGAAAGCTGGAAGAGAAGCTAAAGTTACGAATCCAGCAGCTAAAAGCATTGAACGAGAAATACAAAGAAAGTCAGAACAGCGTAGAAGAGAAAGAACAGGCCATTGCTGAGCAGGCAAGTGAGCTAGAGGCAGCAACTGAGCATGTGCAGAAGCTGACCAATCAGATCAAAGAGCTGAGTGGAGCAGCAGAGCAAGTGGGAGTGTTGACCAATCAGATTGCAGAGCAGAATGTAACCATGGAAACCATGAGGCAGCATCTTCAGGCACTGCAGCAAGAGAAAGAAACTGTTGCTAGCATGGATGCCAGCTTCTCTGAAGTTAAATCCAAGATGGCTGAAGACCTAGAACAGTGGAAAGCACAGTACAACAATGCTGAAGAACAGAGAAGGATACTCACAGTACAACTGGAAGAAAGGGCTGAGCAACTGAACACAAGTAAATTTGTTCAAGAAAATCTCTCGGCACAACTTGAAGAAAGCCAGGTGGCACGTGAGAAAGAAGCCAAGGAGTGTGAAAATCTGAGGATTTCCATTGAGAGACTTACTCAAGAATATCAGAATGCACAACAACAGTTGATGCAGGCTGCAAATGACATCCAAACTCTTCAGTCTGAAAAGGAGAAAATGATGGAAGGTCTTGAAAAGGTTAACACAGAGAAGACGACAGCATTGGAAGAGGTTCAAAATCTTCAGAGCTCTGTGGAAAGCCTGGTAGGGGAAAAGCAGAAGCTAGCAGAAGATTTGACAACGTACAGTCAAGAGTTAGAGTCCACACAAAATGAAAGAAGTGCACTCCAAACCCAGTTGGAAAACTTGAGAACAGAGAGGTCGGAAAACTGGTCCCAGGAAATGGTGAGCATCCAAGAGGAATTGAGACATGCCCGCGATTTCTTGGAGGCAGCTCAATCCGAGAGACATTCGCTTGCTGAACAGTTAGAGACCATCGCTGCGGAGAAGAATGCACTCGATAAGGAGATCGCAGAGACAAGACAGTCTAACAGCATCTTGGAAGAGCAGCTCAACAATACTGCACACAGTCTAAAGGGGGTAACAGAAGACAGAGACAGATTGGTACAAGAGCTAGAGTCAGTAAAGTCAGAGAGAACACAACTAGAAACAAGTTTTACAGAAACACAAGAGGAAGTGCACAGCCTGAGGTTGGAAAGAGAACAGATTGTAGTCAAGCTTGAGACAGCAGAAACACAAATGAGCAGCCAGACTCAGTCAGGAGAAGAACTTGCTAAACTAAAGAAGGAGAAAGAAGACGCCTTGAAAAAGGTCATGGTGGCCAAAGGAAAGCTGATCGAGCTCAAGAAGAAATGCGAAGGATTGCAGCAAGAAAAGAAGAGGATACAGGACGAGAGAAGTGAACTGGAAGGGAGCACTAAGGAACTGATGGAAGAAAAGAATGAGCTTGAGAGAACGATGACTCAAGAAAGGGAACAACTGACAATCCTCCAGCAAAAGGTAGTGAATGTAGAAGAAAGCAACGTTGAGCTTCAGAAATTGAATGTCACGCTAGAACAGCAATTGAAAGAGGCATCCAGATTTGAACAGGACAGTATAGCTATAGGAGAACAACTGGCTACTATGCAAGATGAATTCAAGGGCTTACAGGTTCAGTACAACGTTGCAATACAAGAGAAATCTGCTGTGGAAGAAAAACTAAAAATGGTTCATGAGGAAAGAACCTTTGAAGTTCACGATCAAAATTCAGTCCTGGAAGATAAGATACAAGCACTGCAGATGGAAGTTGAAACTGCTAGGGAGCAGCTTACAGTTGTCCGAATGGAAAAGTCCGAATTGGAGACTAGGTTCAGTCTGCTCAGTGAAGACAAACAGCAGATTGAGACTAAGTTGTCACAGTCGACAGAAGACAGGATGTCTTATGAGAGGAAACTTGGACTCCTCCAAGAACAGAACAACACTTTACAGAAAAGCTTAGAGAAGCAGCAAGAAGAGAAGAACAAGGTGGAACGTACGTTGTTGCAAGTAGAAGAAGAGAGGAACAGCTTACAGCAGAGTTTGACCATTCTGGAGCAGGATCGCGCTACTCTTGAAAGGAACCTGTCGCAGCTACAGTCCGACAGGGTTGAGAAAAGCCAAATGGACGAGCTACGACACACGATGGAATCACAGCTCACGACTTTACGCCAGGAACGAGAAAATCTGGCGCTACAGCTGAAAGACCTGGAGATGACAAAATGGCAGCTGCAGGACAATCGTGAAAAGCTGGAGAACGAGAAGGAAGAACTGGCCAAAGAGATGGAGCAGCTGACACAGAACAATGAGGGCCTCTTGCAGAAAGTTGAAGAACTGCAGGCTGAGAATCAGGATCTTGTTGGCAACATAGAAAAACTGAACAATGACATCAAGAAACTGAATGATCAGACCAAGAAACTTCTGCATGATACCCAGCAACAAGACGAGGAAAACTTAAAATTAGGAAGAGAAAAGGAGTCCCTTTCAGTAGAAAACGAAGAACTAAAGACAAGAATGGAAGAGTTGGTGACAGAAAAGGATGATTTTGAAGAACAGCTGGATACACTTAAATCCCAGGTAGAGGATCTGAAAGAAGAGAAGACTTCAGCTGAAGAAGACAGTGGAAAGTTGAAGAAGGACATGCAAAATCTTGCAGCAGAAAGAGAAAGTCTGCAAAGCCGTTTGGAAACCCTTCAGATGCAACTTGAAGAACTACAGAAGGCAAAAGAAACATCAGACTTGGAAGGTGGCAAGCTAAAGAAGGAGTTGGAGAACCTTGAGATGGAAAAAGACGGTCTTGATAGTGAACTTGAATCCCTACAGCTGGACTTCGACGAGCTTAAGAAGTCCAAGGACACTTCCGACCGAGAGAACAGCATACTCAGGAACGAGGTAGAGAATGCATCGTGGGACAAAGGGGAGTTGGAGAACCAGGTAGAAGACCTGAAAGACCAGCTGTTAGAACTCCAGCGGGCGAAACAGACCTCAGAATCAGAAAACAACAACTTGAAGACGGAGATCGAAAGCCTTGTACAAGATAAGGAAAGGCTAGACACCATGTGTAAGAGTCTTGTTGCAGAGTTGGAAGGGAAGGTGGATTCGGATGCGCTCAGTAGCTTGGAGAAGGACAGGGAAGAGCTAGAACTGGTCTTGGATAAACTGAGAACAGAGCGAGCGACTCTTTCACAAGAAAAGGATGCGGCAATAGCAGAGAGCACCAGACTTCAGCTAGAAGTAGAATCCTTGCAGACGAGTGTTGAAACGTTGCAAGCTAGTGTGAAGAAACAAAAGGAAGAACTAGATGACATGAAACTGAGGGACAGAGATCTAGGTGAGGAGAGAGAGTACCTACATTCCAGTATTGCAAAATTCACTGAAGAAAAAGAGATCCTGGTAGAAAGGGTTCACAAACTGCAGACTGTGAATGAGCAGCTTGCGAATAAGGTGACAAGGTTAGCAGAGCTGGAGGAGTTGAATCTGAGGCTGACGAAACAAGAGGATAGCCTCGTTGCAGAGAATGACAGGTTAAAGCAGATGTGTGATGACTTAAACGGTGATGTTCACAGCTTGGCAAACGAGAAAGACTTCCTAGCAAACCAGTTGGAAAAAGCACAACAGGAGCTCGACGGATTGAGGGAGGAAACAAATTCTGCAAAAGAAAATGTCATAAAGGAAAAGAGTGAGTGGGAAACCCGGCAAGTGGAGGTAAAGAGAGAGTTTGAGATGCTCAGACAGTCGCACGATAATGGCAACGCCAGACACGAATCAACGAAACAAGAGCTAGCTTTACTCCAGGACCAGTACTTCCAGCTGCAACAAGAGGTAGACCAGATGCAAGCCGAATGTGACGCTGCGAATCAAGAGCTAGAGTCAGTCAAGGAACAGTATGTCGCTGCAGTCAGAGACCTTCAAACAGAAAAACTAGAAGTTGCTGCATTCCAACAGAAATACGAAGATTCCGTAAATAGCAAAGAAACAGCTGACAAAGAAGTTGAGTCCATCAGGCAACAGTATGAAGACTTGGAAAGGAATCTTAACGCAGTCAGAATGCAACTTCAAGAAAAGGAAGCTGAATTGTCAAGATTCCAGGCAGAGAAAGTCACGTTTGAGGAACAGGTTAAGACACGAGAAGAAGAGGTCAAGTCTTTGTGGTCAAAGATGGGAGAATTGGAGGACAGGAATGAGCAGCTAGCTTCACTCAAGATGGAGTATGAAGAAATTGTCAGAGAGAGGAAAGAACTTCTAAAACAGACAAGAGATCTAGAGGTTAGTTGTAACACACACCATGTAGACACTAGAATTATTACAGTTTTAACAGATGTTTATGATGATTATATGTCCTAGCTTTCTGTGTGTGTGTACTACTTGAAAGTTTGAAACATGAGACCTCAAATGATTAGATTTTGGGCTCCCTAGTGACTTGTTATGGTACTGCAGTGGAAATTTCGGTCTTGATATTTCATGATCTGGACATGCTAGGGCCACAATTTTTGGACGGTAGATAGCTCTTGTGCTCAGCAACAAGTAAATATATATATATAAGTTTATAATATAATATATCTAGCATCTTGTTGTTGAATTTTGTTGCACTGTTTTGTTTTCAGGCTGAAGCTACGAAGAGTGCGGAAACAACTTCCAGCATGCAGCAGTTACAGACCACCCTGGAGCAGGCGTTAGAGGGGGTCCATCAGAGGGACATGAGGTGTCAGGAACTGTCCATTCAGGTAGGGGGCGCTGCTACACTGTCCAGTCATAGTTCTGTCATTCTCAGTAGTTACAGTACAGTAGATACAGTCATTGTGATAGATAAACACACAATGGATTACATTTCCTATTAAAGTCATACATGTAACATCAGTTGGGGGAATACCGTAATTAACAGACCACAAAAGGTCAGACACAGGAAGTTAGGTCCCAAAAACTGCCAGTAAGCCAGTTAGGAAGTTAGCTGGACCTGTTGAAAATGAATACTTTTGAAAGTACATTGAACGTCATACCATTTCTTTTGTTGTAACTTGTGTCAATAAATTTAAAGAAACACTAGACTAAAATGGCTCCTGGAGGTTTGAAATCTCTGATTTCTTATTTAGTATGTAAGAAAAAGGCTTTAAAATCTGTACTCTTCATCTCTAGGTGACATCGTTGCTTGAGGAGCGGAACCATCTGAGGATGCAGTTTTCCCATGCTGCTCGGGGGCTGCAGGAAAGAGAGGCTCAACTCCAGGCCCTGCAGCTCCAGTACCAGCAGATCTCACAGAGGGAGCAGTTAGCATTGGTGGGACAGTCAGAGGTAATATTATACTTGATACTGCATTAAATGATCTTATTTTTTTATAGCATTAGCCAAATATCAGGTAAATAGTTCAGCACCAAGGACAGGCATGGTTGTACAGTAAAACCACTCTGAAACTTTGTTAAACATTTCAAAATAGACATGTGGCCACCATAGTGAGATAGCCAATCATTATATGGCTCTTTCTAGTCCTTGCTTCTTTTATACTATGATTTTTAATGTTAATACTGATGAATATTTAAAAGGTTCATAGTTCAGCACCAAGGACAGGACTGGTATTCTTTACAATAGATTCATTTTGTTTGCAGAGATTCAATTTCGCGGTAGGATGGGAAATGGATTTTTTGCCAAATGTTTGTAGCTGAAACAATTTTGTAGTACAGTAGAAATGAAATTTAATGCATCATGAAGGCATACTCACACTGTCATGAATTTGTAGGTTGAGGTCACCACAAAAAAATCGCAAAAATTAAACTGCCAGAAACATTTCAACATTTAAAGTTACTTTAGTGCTTTGTTTATAGGAAAGAGTTAAATTTGTCTTGTTTTTTGCAGCACACATCTGAAGAGAAAACAATAGAAACCATGGAGGTGGAGGACACACAAGTCCAGATACAGCAAAAACCTGTGCAAGAGGATCCTGAGGTACACAACCTCAGTAAAAGGTCAGTGTTTTTCTCAGATTATCACTTCAAAAGTATGATTATAGAACTTGTTATAGTGCAATATGCTTGCTTGCTTGTTAGGTTTGTTTAGAATGGTATTTCAAAACATATTAGTGGCATTTTCTTAGTACATTGTATAAAATGTTGTCAACAGTTTTATGTACAGTAACTGATTTGTTGTGTTCAAATGACTTCTTTACCCTAAACTAACAGGTTAGAAGAGGCTGAACATGCAAGAGAAGCAATTGCACAGGAGATGGCCACACTAGAGGTTTGTCCTGGTTTTGATTGCAATTTTTTTGGATGAGGAATTTTAAACTGTATTGAGAAATCATGTAATTTCAACTTTCTTGGTTACAAAATAACAATGATATCAAGGCCTTCAATGTCTTAAAGTGATAAAAGTGATGTAGTTGTGATGTTCTGAATGTTTTAACATGAAGTCATACAGTTTGAAACATAATGTGCATCTGGACAATTACCGTATAAGGCCTTTGCTGCATGCATTTCTTTAATAGAATTCTATGTTGTTTTATTTGGCATGCCATGGAGTATAATCATCTAGATTCTAGGTACATGTCTTTTAATTGGTTTATCATAAGCTTATTACATAAAATTTCAAGTTACTTTATTAACAGACTAACAGAATTTATTAACATTTCAGCTTTATTTTGTGTTTGAGGGAATATATAACTTTCCTAGAAAGCTATTCAAAAATTTTGGTATTCGTATGTTAAATTTTGAATAAGGGGACACTATGGGTGCACCAGTGGTTTACTGCGTACAAAAATGTCTACATTTGATGTCTTTTTTTTTCTTTACAGTCCCTTTTACAACAGGAGCGGGACCAGAAGATATCCCTGGAGGACTCTCTGTTAGCTGCTCAGTCGGAAATCAAAGCGTATCAGAACCAGCCTCCGCCGAACAAGGAGGTTAGTGTAAGTAACAACCCAGCTTATCTGGGTGGGGTGCACGATGGCGGCCATCTTGGTGTGGTGCATCATGGGAAGTTTCTTTGTGGTTTGGGCACTGGTATTTTATTATCTTTGTGGTTGAGGTACTTAAATGTATTTTGTTTTCTTTCATTTTGTTCCATGACCGTGCTTTGTCACCAACATTTAACTAACATATATAATTATACAATACTGAATACATTTTTCTTGATTGTACTCTTTACATGTAGTTCACTGTCTTGTTTGAATGTTGCTATGATTTTGCAGTTTTACATCTTCAAATAAAAAGAATGTGAAATAGAAGAATTTACATATAGTCTTTTAACTGCATTTGCGGAATGAAAATCACTCTAATGCCACAGCGTGAGTCTTTTGTTTGTAAGTTTTGCTAGTTTGTACACCATTGTTGAATGATATAAATATAATCATGACCTAATAATTTAACTAACATTTTCATACATCTTTCAGTATCGAATCAACATCGATGGAGCAGAGGAAGCAGTCGAGCTCAACCCCTTCGACTACCGTGCTTTGAAGATCAGTAAGTACATTTTCATAAATGAATGTTAAAAATACTGAAGCCACAACACAAGCGGTGTTGTTGCTTACATGTAAGTTGGCATCAGATTAAAAAGAAAAAATATATATCTCTCTAAATACCGGTATCTTGGACATGTTTGAATGTTGACAGACGTTTGTATGTTCCCTGCATTTGTAATGCAAAAAGTTTGGTGGTCCATAAAAGTGTAAACTTATCTGTTGCATTCGACCTTCCCTATGGAATAATTTGTTGCTTAAAACAGCTTGGTCAGGCTTACCATGTAGCTTTCACAAGAATGGCGATATTCATAATTGGATTTTAACCTTCTCCATGCTACCTAACCCCAAAACCAATATTAAATTGGCAGCCAAATGATTACTTCAGTGTTCTAAAGGTTACAAGGTGCTATGTTGACTAAGAATGTTTTCCTGATAGTACGACATGCAATACAAATTTTCTAAATGTTTGTTACAGCTCGGAAGATGACTCCATGTTGTATGACCTTGGACAAGTGGTTACGGGGACGAAGGTGAGATTAAACAGTAACTGTTATATTCTTAAATGTTCATTTTGTAATTTCATAGTTGTCATATTTAATAGATTTTCAAAAAGGCATCATTTGTGAAGTAATAAGCACAAGGATCATTAAGTCAGTAATTCAATGTTCTTGAACAGTTTAAGTCAATGAAAAAATTGTGATGTTTATCATGAATTACATGTTACTATTTTCATCGCCCCTGTAGCCTGTACCTGACCAGGATGCTGAGGACACGCCCCTGCTGTCGGTTCATCTCATTTGCATACCTGTTCGTACTTCATGTGATTGCTTTCATGTTCTTTTACGCCTTCTTCTAAAGAATCGAACATCACCAACATCAAATATCGTACATGACACCACTTATCAAGAACTATCGACAACAAGAGTATGTCCTGTCTAAGGAATGTAATTTCCACTCTCATATCTGTACCCTAAGATTGCCACATTGAAAAAAAGGTGAAATTTTAAGAAAATCCAAGAAATGCTGCATCAGTATAAACTTAAATGCTCAACAATTGTACAAGGTATACAAAGCTTGGAATCTATTGCTGTATAAAAAACATACTCATATGAGACTAATGTACCTTACAAAGACTATAATACAGTAATATGGGATGAGAATGTGCTTCTACACTCAATGGTCAAATATGTAGCGTTTAGGCATTTTTTTAGACATTGCTCTATTGTACAATGCAAGGGTTGTCACACATCAATATGTACTTAAATTTGGTATTCAAATGCATTGATAAAAATCCTGGTACAGAATATGATGGACTTGTATATAGTGAACCATGCATATCAACGTATTTGGGACACAAACTCAGAAATTGATAATACAAATCGTTTTGGTCTTCTTTTAGTTTTGGACAAACTGAACAAACCATTACGCTTCAGACATCTAGATGTTCAAGTTATTCTTGAAAAGGCCTTGATAACACCAATTATTTTCTGTGGCAGTCTTAGTGCACTCGGCAGTACAAAATGTATTATGAGAGTTAACGCTAGATTCAAAATTGTTATGTATATTGTAAATAATGTAACTACAGATAGATGTAAATGCAAAGTTAGTTTTACTGTCAGCCATAAGATGGTGAATTTTATTCCGCTAAAATGCCAATATTGAAGAGTCATTGAAACAATTATAATATCACAATGCAAGTATATTTTGCTGCTTCCTGTATAAGGCCTATCATGAACAGATGATTGTAAAGTGTTAGAATTTGAGTTCTGAGTATCTGCATTATATGAAATTTAAATTCTTCAATCAGTGACTGTATTTAAAGGTAAAAACACGTACCTCCAAATTTTCGGTGTCGACTGTACACCTTTCTCAAGGAGTGACCTAGTCTCGCGAGAACACT